GGTGGGAGGAGGGGATAGGTGGGAGGAGGAACAGGTTAGGGAGGCGGGGACGAGCTGGGCTGGTTTTGGGATACGGTAGGGGGAGGGGAGATTTTGAAGCTTGTGAAATCCACATTGATACCATTGGGCTGCAGGGTTCCCAAGCGGAATATGAGCTGCTGTTCCTGCAACCTTCGGGTGGCATCGTTGTGGCACTGCAGGAGGCCCAGGATGGACATGTCGTCTGAGGAATGGGAGGGGGAGTTGAAATGGTTCGCGACTGGGAGGTGCAGTTGTTTATTGCGAACCGAGCGTAGGTGTTCTGCAAAGCAGTCCCCAAGCCTCCGCTTGGTTTCCCCAATGTAGAGGAGGCCACAATGGGTACAGCGGATGCCGTGTACCACATTAGCAGATGTGCAGGTGAACATCTGCTCGATGTGGAAAGTCTTCTTGGGGCCTGGGATGGGGGTGAGGGAGGAGGTGTGGGGGGAGGTGTAGCACTTCAAAATTTCCCCTCCCCCTACCGCATCCCAAAACCAGCCCAGCTCGTCCCCGCCTCCCTAACCTGTCCTTCCTCCCACCTCAAGCTCCACCCCCATCTCCTACCTACTAACCTCATCCCGCCCCCTTGACCTGTCCATCCTCCCTGAACTGACCTATCTCCTCCCTACCTCCCCACCTACACTCACCTTTACTGGCTCCATCCCCGCCTCTTTGACCTGCTTGGCCTGCTGTGTTTATCCAGCTCTACACCTTGCTATCCCATAAACACACTCTTGGCAAAGGCGAATTCAGTAAAATAGATTGTCTCATATGCAATTCTGGCAGCAGGAAGAGAACTCCAGCCTTTAGCTATAGCAGAGAGAGGAATAAGAACTTTCACATCCAACTTCAAGACCCCAGCAAGTGCAGATAGCTAAAACTAAAAATCCTGGTTCTGTGGGTGTTTGACCCCACCCATTCAGGCTGCTTCTATTGTTCCAATCTTTTCAAAAAAAAACAAAGCCTCACAAGCTGTTTACGTTATTGGCTTTGAGCACACCGTTTGCCACATTTGTCTTAAACTTCCTTCATTTAAAAAAAAATAAAGCCATAGTATTGACACAGATCCCTCAAAAAAAATGTCTGCTCGGTATTAGTCACTTCCATCAATTATTAATAACACTGGCATCCTAAATGCAGCCCCATCAAATTTCAGAAACAAAAAACATGAATTCGAGTTTGATTTATTATTGTCACATGTACCAAGATACAGTGAAAAGTGTTAACACAACGTGGAGCTAGAGGAGCACAGCAGGCCAGGCAGCATCAGTGGAGCAGGAAAGTTGACATTTCGGGTGAAGGAGTGTCCTGACCGGAAAGGTCAACTTTCCTGCTCCTCTGATGCTGCATGGCCTGCTGTGTTCCTCCAGCTCCACAATGTGTTGACTCTGACTTCAGCATCTGCAGTTCTTGCTATCTCAGTGAAAAGTGTTGTTTTGTGTGCTGTACAGGTAGATTGTACTACACAAAGTGCATCAGGGTTGCAGAACAGAGTACAGGAATCATTGTTATAGCCACAGAGCAGGCGCAGAGAGAGAGAGATCAAAATTAACATTTGAGAAATCCATTTAAAAATCTGATAACAGCGGGGAAGAAGCTGTTCTTGAATCAATGCATGCTGGGCCATGTATCCATCTCCTTACAGAATTCACTATGTTTCACAAAATGCTTGTCAAAACTCTTCGTGTTCCTGTCACTTGTTGCTGTATCTGTATTCTGGGTGTATCTGTGCTTGCATAGACAAACTATATTGACCATTTTTAGTGATGGCACTCTATCAATGCAATTGTGATACATGCTACTATTTTCTAAATACTTCCTTTCTTATTATTTGTTGTTATCTCTCTTGGAAAATAATTCAATTATCTATTTGAGGAAAAGCAAATGTGCCACAACATTTTTTTAAAAAGTTAATATCTGAGTTCATGGCGTTTATCAGATGAGTCCAAACCTGATTTTTACGATTTTTAAAATTTTAAGCTTCTTACAGTTCGGTTCTCCTGACATCAACAATTATTTCATCCGGTGATCTCCCCTCCCCATTCCGCTTCCAAGCTAATAGTCCCCCAACCCCGCACAGCTCGTTTCTACCTCCTGCCAAAAATCCACAAACAGGACTGTCCGAGCAGACCCATTGTTTCAGCCTGCTCGTTCCCCACAGAACTCATCTCTTCCTACCTTCTCCCCACTGGTCCAATCCCTACCCACATACATCCATGATTCATCTGATGCCTTACGCCGGTTTCAAAACTTCCAGTTTACCGGCTCCAGCCATCTCCTCTTTACCATGGATGTGCAATCCCTTTACACGTCCATTCCCCCACCAGGAGGGTCTTAGGGCTGTCCGCTCCTTCCTGGAGCAAAGACCTGAACCATCCCCACCCACCACCACCTTCCTCTGCTTGGCTGAGGTTGTCCTCACACTCAACAACTTCTCTTTCAACTCCTGTCATTTTCTTCAGGTAAGAGGGATTGCCATGGATACCTGCGTGGACCCTAGTTATGCCTGTCTCTTCGTAGGGTACGTGGAACATTCCTTGTTTCAATCCTATTCTGGCCCCCACCCACAACTCTTTCTCCGATACATCGATGATATCATCGGTGCTGCTCCCCTCTCTCGTCTGGAAATGGAAAACTTCATCAATTTTGCCTCCAATTTCCACCCTGCCCTCACTTTCACTTCGTCTATCTCTGACTCCTCCCTTCCCTTCCTCGACATTTCTGTTTCCATTTCTGGGGATAGTTTGGCCACTAATATCCATTACAAACCCACTAACTCCCACAGCTGCCTGGACTATACATCCTCACACCCCACGTTCTATAAAGACTCCATCCCATTCTCTCAGTTCCTCTGTCTCTGTCGTGTATGTTCAGATGAGGCCAACTTCGACAAGGGAGCCTCTGAGATGTCCACCTTCTTCCTCAACCGAGGATTCCCCAGCTCTGTTGTCAACAGAGCCCTCAACCAGATCTGACCCATCTCCCGCACTTCCGCCCTCACCCCTTCTCTTCCCTCCCGCAACAGCGATAGGGTTCCCCTTATCCTCACCTACCATCCCACCAGCATCCACATCCAGAAGATCGTCAGACACCATTTCCGCCACCTCCAGCAAGATGCCACCACCAAACACATATTCCCCTCCCCTCCCCTGTCTGCCTTCCGCAGGGACTGTTCCCTCCGGTACACCCTGGTCCACACTTCCTTCACCCCCAACACTTCCCCACAGCCCTACAGCACCTTCCCCTGTAACCGCCGAAGGTGCAACACCTGCCCATTTACCTCCTCCGTCCCCAGTATCGAAGGGCCCAAACATACCTTCCAGGTGAAGCAACACTTCACCTGCACTTCCCAGAATCTAGTCTACTGCATTCGCTGTTCACAATGTGGTCTCCTCTACATTGGGGAAACGAAGTGTAGACTTGGTGACCGCTTCGCAGAACATCTACGTTCTACTTGCAAAAAAAGACCCTGAACTACCTGTTGCCTGCCACTCCAATGCACCACCCTGCTCCCTGGCCAACATCTCTGTCTCTAGCTTGCTGCAGTGTTCCAGTGAACCCCATCGCAAGTTGGAGGAACAGCACCTCGTTTTCCGCTTGTGGACTCTGCAGCCCTCCGGACTCAATATAGAGTTCAATAATTTTAGGGCCTAAACTCTCCCATGTCCCAGCCCCCTACCCCACACACCAGGCCTTGTTACTACATAGCCTGCCATTACACACCCTCTGTTGTTCGTCACTAACAGTCCCCATTAACAACTATTCACCTTCCCAGTCTGATCGTTAGCAACTCCTTTGTCTGTCCAACTGTCTTTCTCTCTCTTTGGGCTCTATCCTATTGTTTACTCCGTACCCCACCCACCTCCCTATTTTCTGAATATAAACTGACGTTTTCCCAGCCACCATCGGTTCTGAGGAAGGGTCACCGGACCCGAAACGTTAACTCTGTTTTCTCCTTCACAGATGCTGCCAGCACTTTTCTAGCAACTTTGTTTTTGTCAACAATTATTCCATGGCAAATGTGGATATAATAGCTTTCATGGTATAAATGCTAAGTAAATAGTTTTAGGAGAGATATTGGAAAAACAATAGCATTATAGCTGCAAAAAAAATCATAAGATGTAGTGGGTATATATTTTCATGTCTTTATAATTGTTTAATAAGTATTTCCTTTTAGATGGATAATTCTAATATTATTTTTCACTACATCAGGTGAATAAATTGAAAAGAGAGTTGTCTCATATGAAGCAGGAGCTTCAGTATAAAGAACAAGGATTTGAAACTCTTAAAGCGTAAGTACAAGATAACTAAAACATTTTCTTCAGACGCTATTTTCTTTTCCATGCAAGGAATTTCATAGAATCATGCAGTACCGAAGAGGTCCTTCAGCCCATCAAGTCTATACCGTCAAAAATACACTACCACTTACACTAGTCCTACTTTCCTGCACTAGGCCCATCGCCTTTATTGTGACGACACTTCAAGTGCTCATCCAAGTACTTTTTTAAGGCTTCTCTGGTTTGCCACCTCAACTGCTGTCCCAAGTAGTGAATTCCAGAACCCACTGCCCTCTTGGTGGAAAAAAAACCTTTTTCCTCAAATCCCATCTAAACCTCCTGCTTTTCACTTTAAAATTATGCCCCCTTGTTATTCTTCGACAAAGGGAAACGACTGCTTTCTATTCACCCTGTCAATGCCCCTCATGATCTTATACACCTCTATCAGCTTCCCCCTCAACCTTGTCTGCTCCAAAGTAAACAGACCCAGGTTATCCAACCTCTTTCCGTAGCTGAGATGCTTCATCACTGGGACAGACAATGTCCTAGTGAATCTCCTCTGCAGTATTTGTGTAAGGAAACTGTACATTCTTTAGTTGGAAAGGTTATAGAATTTTCCATTCATATTCAAAGGTACTTGCTTTTGAAACTGGAATTTTAAGCTCACCAAGGATATAAAATGAGGAGTAGAGCCAATTATGGACCAAAAAAGAATTTTACACGTGGAGATGTGGTATTTTCACAGATGACCATGCCTGGTAACTTGTGATATTTGCCATCTCTACTAGCATGTGTTACTGTGTAAAGATTGTTTCAGATAGTTTGCTGTCACACGTCCTTCTTTGGCTTTGCTTCTCTTGAGCTTATCCAGTGATTACTGGTAGAGTATCTATTAAGGAAGCACTGTTCTTAAATAGCATGAAACCTTGTCACATGATGGAGCAATAAGTACAGTTACATTGGATCGGGCATAATAACTGAGATTTTGGGAAACTGGAACAGATACATCTGTTCCTTCTGAAATTCGGAGTAGAATTCCTTGTGTCCACCACCAGATTGTATGATGTCAGTGGAACGGGTGGAGCCAACAGAACAAACATTTGAGGGAGTATTGCCACTCACCATCTCCACTACCCAATCTCTGACTTCACAAATACAGGCAGTCTGAATGTTTTGCACTTTTCACAGAATGCACTCTCTTTGGAAGATTGCTAGCTCTCTTCCTTTGAGGGCTATTGACCCTGTTTCTGATCTGTGTATAGTTTCTGCACTGGGGACTTTTCTTACCTCTGATTTTGTTTGTAGACCACATCATTCTTTGTAGCCTTTGGCCCATTACTTATCTAGACGGCCCTTAATCCCCAGAATTTCCCTTGCAGAGCTAACTCGGGTAGTATAAAATGATCTAGGGACCTTTTAATAATGAAAGGCAGCTGCTTTCTTGAAATCGTACTTAATTTCTTATATCTTGGTTTGCTAGATCTGGCAGTTGCTTTCAGTTTGGAACAGGCACTTTCTTTCATGGTATCCTCGATACTTAAACAAGACAATTTCTTCCTTTTCTTTATGTCAAAAGTCTGTGGATATTGGTCAGGTTCTCATGGAGTTATATGCAGCTCATCATTTTTGATCAAACTGAATGTCTTCAGTTGTATTTTGTGTTAATTTGGATAGTGAAATAGATTTTCTCATGTTTTCAATTTTTTTTAGCTATAAGATTGCTGTCCACATTATCTTTGTCATTGGCGTTGACAATTCAGTTGTATCAAGTTAAAAGTGTTCTGTTGTCTGAACAAAGGAAGGTAAAAATTCCTGAATGAGGTTCATTGTGTTATCATTCCTGTTTTCAGTACTGGTTACTTCTCACAGACCGAGTTTCATCTTAACATCTGTCTGCTGTGTTTATAGGAGTGTTTTTCTAATCTATCAATTGTAGATTTCACAATGAGTTATGAGATTGTCAATCTCTTTTGAGATCTCTGGCCACCAGAATGCCGACTGAGCCCTGTGTGTATGCCTGGCAACGACCAAGTGTCCCATGTGTATCCTATCCAACATGGCATCCCAAAGGGAGGCTGGTATAACTGGACCTGCATCAAAGCTCTAGTAAATAATTCTTTCTAAAGGAGATTGTTTGACTTATTGATACCTTTGCATGTGTAGCTTCCTTTTTTTGCAGATCTAAAACTGTGTTCAACTTTTGCACTCTTTCTGGAGGTGACCTTCAATTTTTAACAGATGTACCATTTTTTAAAATCGTGCCTCATCATTCTCTGTATTGTGGGGTTTTTATGTTCCACAGCACTGACAATGACTGCTATTTGGCTTATTGAACACAATAGAGTGCAATACTGTTCATGTTAATGTTTCTGGTCTTTGCACTTTTCCATACCTTTTCTTTTAGTGATATCAATTTTACTTCCTGGATCCCTTATTTGCTCCCTATGGAACCTCCTTTGCTAAAGCCTCTGTATTTTCTTAGTGTGGCTTTTTGTTTTGACTCTGTTCCTAGCCCACACATTTGCCCCAGTGCTCTTTACCAGCTTCTGAATGAAATTCTGCCTTTGGAGTGCTCAGCTTGACAATTGTTACTTCCATGGCTGCTGCTGTCTGTCTCTGGGAGTTGCTTTTCATCTGTTGACCAGGAAGGAGAGGCAAGGGAGTATAAAAAGAACATGCACAGCTCCCACAATGAGCAATGCTGCCATTAACCTGAAGCTCCATGAGACACTGCTGCGAGGAACAATATATAGCCTAAAATGAAATTCAGAACTGGACTTGAGGAGTGAAAAAGCCTCAGAATTTAAGCTGAAAATGAGCAACTTTAAAGAAAATCAAGTGAAAGAATCTAGAAAAACAAGAAATGTCAGAACGATTTAGAGATTTAAAAGGGTTGGAACTCCTGGGCGTATTGGAGACTCCACTTCGTAGGATGCAGGACTGTCTTGACATTAAACATAAACATGGACAGTATTGCACACTATTGAGCAATCTGAAATAAAGAATATTATACTAAAAGGAGGGATCTTTGGCACAATGGGCAATGCCCTAATCTCTGAGCAGGAAGGTCCGAATTCAAGTTCCACCTGACCGGCTGGTGTGTGATAGCGTGTCCGAAGGTGTTATTTTCTAATAAGGTCTCACAGAGATGCCTGAGCTCAAATGGAACTAAGTTTATCAGTTAATTGAAGGATAATTAGGTAAGAATTTTGACCAGGTGCATGTTTAAATATGGAACAAGTAATCAATGTTGGTGATGAGTTGTAATACAACTCTGACAAGAAAAGCAGGACTTTGTGCTCGTTTCGGCAGCAGATATACTAAAATTGGAATGATACAGAGAACATTATCATGCCCCCTGCGTAAGGATGACACAAACATTCATGAAGTGTTCCATAGGGCTCTTGTGGCCCTGTTGTAATATCCCTGCCTCTGAGCTAGGAAGCCCAAGTTAAAGTCCCACCTGCTCCAAAGGTATGTAATAACATCTCTGAATAAGTTGATTATAAATTATATATGCCTGGACTCTGTCTAACCAACATTTAACCTCTGGTGTTTAACAGTCATAGCTGAGATGGTCAGCTGCTTGTAAATCAAAGATTGAATATTAATCATTCTGGTTAAAATAATGCTTTCAAAAAAGCTTCAGAAATGTGGGTGAATCAAAATTTAAAGTATTTTCGTAAGATTTCCAATCCGTGTTTTCTGAATGCAAACTTTATGATCAATGCAATACAAAAACCATTCAAAAATAGAATGAGAAGCAAAGTTTTTCAGAATTGAAGATTGACAATTTGAACATGGATGGTATTGGAAAATTTTTAACTTCCACGGATAAAATTTGTCAAAAGATAATTACTAACTACTTTTCAGGTATATTCAGGTTTTGACAAACTTTTGCGTTGACATTTAAGTTATTAGACTGTGCTGAAAATATTGCATTTAGGCAGGCTTCTAATTTTGATGGGATTTAAATTTGAAGATAAAACTCACTGCTAGGAGAAATATCTGAAGTCATTTTGAAAAAATGGAAAATTGCAAAGTTTTGCTTTCTAGCAGTGTTTGTGCTTCAAATCGGATGATTGACCAAACTACTGAAAATGGAGGATACAATGTTAACAGGCTTGTGAAACTGTATAGATACTGGTTGCAGGGAACAGTATGAAGAGGAATTTTACCAAAACGAGATAAGGAGAGAAATGCTTATGACAAGTTTATGAAGTGAAAAGCATTTGGGTCTTCGATTAAAGAGTGAATTGCAGAAATGGCCAGGATTGTAGTCAATTGATGTTTCAGATGTGATTCAAAGTATCATTGTGCTGTAAACTGCTCCAACTGGCATAATAGAGTATTCAAACCAAAACACAAAACTGAAAGTTCGGAAGAAAAAGATGGAGATCAAAGAGAGGGCATTGCAGTGGCCATAAGTCGTTTCAACTCTGATGAATGTGTTGGTGGCAGATCAGTATTAAAGATTGGATGTACATCTACAGTGTATAGAATAGCCTGGCTAAAATGCCACTAGAAACTGAGTAGTAAGGATTGGAACAAAGTTAAGGAATTTGAGAGTTCCACCAGTTTCAGAGTTGGGATAATAATACTGCATTGGGGTAGTCATTCCTTGTAATTAGTCAAAATCAATCATTTTATTAGCATGAATGTAGTTTCCATGAAATACTACTGTTGCTAAGTGAGCTATTGATGAAAAAAACAGAGATGAAACTGGATATGGAAAATGAGGAAGCTATTTGGAAAATCTGTGAATTTGCAATTTATTCAATCAGAGCACTATTGTATTCCTTTAATAACTATAACCTCCACTAAATAAATTAAAGAAGCACTATTGTTGTCGGGTAAAAAAATTTAGAAGTTGAAAAGTAAAACTATATAATTTGCCATCCATCTTCGATAAGTTTAAAATTTTAGTAAGCTTCAGTAACGAGGGATGAGGAATACAATATGCTTATAGAAAAGATACTTGATTGATGTGAGAATTATAAAAAATACCAAAGGATAGTGTCAGAGCCCTTAGCAAGGAATTTCAACAACATGATGGCTATGGATTAAACGTGTGGGATAAAGTTTAAAAAAAAATACATTTTCTAGATTTGGCAACCACAGTTGGTTGACAATGACACATCATAAAGACAAGAAAATAGTTGTGAATAAAGTATTAGAAAACTGGTTGGGGACTGAATTTGGACTACTCACTAATAATAATGGGGATTTTGCTCACAATTAATTAGAGATTGTGCAAATATGAACATAATAGTTATGAATTTGGTACCAGAAAGTCCTTTTAGCAACAGCAGGCATGAAAGGAGCCATGCAGTAACTGCCAAATGGTTCATAAATTTTTGGCAGATGAGCCAAACTGTAAATGATTGTCTGCATTACATGGGCCGTCCATGCTAAGAATTTGCGAGAGATGATCAGAGAATATAATCCATACCAGGTAGAAACTCTAAAGTTCTGTTTGTAGTAAGTGAGTAGCCTGCAAGTTGGGAAGGGTGTTTGAATGCGCTGCACTCAAGCAGAAGGGCTTTGAATAAAGCCAAAGTCTCAGAAAGACTTCGTGAGCCCTAACACACAATGTAATGTAATTGGAAACTAGTTTCCATCAGAGAGATATAGTTTTCTGTAAAAGGAGGGGGGATCTTAAAAAAATGGAGAGACCCAGGAAATGTTATTGGTAAAGATGGAAAAGTAAATGCGCAAATTCAAGTTGGTCTATGGACACTCCTCAGATGCTTGATATGAATTACAAATGTGTATTTTCGAAATGGATTGTAGAAAATAATGAGAAACCAGGTATTTCTCAACTGTATGTTACAAAGCTATGAGTGATACATCAATAATAAGTCATTGTGGGATAAAGAGTATTTATCTAAATGCCTGAATAAGAAAAGATTGAGGATCAGTATTGCTGTTTGAAAACGGATACTGGAGAACAGAGAAATCTCCACATTGAAATGAATGGATAGCACCCCTTGGTTTTTTGGTTGTTTTACAAAGAAACAAGCAAGTTTCAGAAAATTACAAATGCTAGGGAAAAAAAGATGTTTGAAATTTTAATGTAAGCCAAAATAAAAGTGCACAATATGTTGTCATTTTATATTTTTATTTGTATGTTTTACATCAATATATAAATGTCATATGAAAAAGGGGCGTCTGTTATCTAGTAAGGTTTGGCAGGAGACCAAATGGAACTAGGTAACAGATAACTGGGCGAAAGCTTGACTGGGTGATATAGTGAACAAGTAATCATTGGGGTGAGTTAGAGATGTGAGAGTTGGAATAAAATTCTGACTAGAAAAACATATGCCTGACCTCTCTGATCAACATTTAACCTTTCATGTTTAATAAGGGGACCTGGGGGATATATGTGCACTAATCATTGAAAGTGGCAAAGCAGGTTGAGAGTGCAATTAATAAAGCATATATGGGATCTTAAACTTAAAGGAATTTCCAGATGTTTGTGTTAGCTGGGTGATTTGCTGATGTGGAATAGTGCGCTGTGAAGTTCACAGCTTGAAGACAGCCCTGTGCTGAAGGTAAGAAGAAAAAACACAAATGCTTTGAGTGCTAGAAGGCAGTCAGCAAGGAAAGGCAACAGGACAAAGAATTTCAGCAAAGCGAAGAATCTTGAAATTGATTGCTTAACTACCAATGTCAACGCTACTGCTGTCACCCAACATTATGTTCACAACATTTCACTATCTACTCTTTGTAAGTATCCCAGAGATGGATTTGTATGTCTTTTAGCTTTTTTTGAACTCGCTCCTCATATTTACTCAATGTGTATGTGCGTTGTGGCACTACTACTCGCCTTGAGTAATTAAAACTCAAGAATGCCTAGTTACATTGATTTCTTTTAAAAGACGCATTAATTTGTTTTGAGAGAAAGTATCCATAAGGGGAAGGGATCTGTGACGAACTGAAGAGGTGCATTAATAAAGAAAGGGAGCCAGATCATCCCCTCCTCACATATGAGCATAAACAATTTGGGGTATCTTGTCTGGAATCATAATGGATTGGAAAATACAGTGTGGAGCTGGAGGAACACAGTAGGTCAGGCAGCAGTAGAGGAGCAGGAGAGTCAACGTTTCGGGCCTAGACCCTTCATCAGGACTCTCCTGCTCCTCTGATGTTGCCTGACCTGCTGTTTTCCTCCAGCTCCACACTGTATTGTCTCTGACTCCAGCATCTGCAGTTCTTGCTATCTCCATGGATTGGAAAACCTTGCCTGGGGATTGGTCATAACTATTGTAAACTATTTGTTGAAAAATACATGATTGAAATATTTTGGAATTTTAAGGAAATACCTTTCTGAAGAAAGGTTAATATTAAAATAAATGGTTTTGAATTTTAGTTAAATATCTTGCAATTTAAATGCATATGTGACTGCAGAGATTGGTCAATAACTTATGTTTTCATAATTGTTGGCTTGTTAAATGACAGAATCGATCTAAAGATGTCAGGAACTCAGGGAGGATACAAACTTGATGAAGCACAGGCTATTATGAATGAAATGAAAACCATCAAAAGGGCTATTAACTCAGGAGAGAAGGAGAAAAGAGACCTCATACAGGTAAAACCTTAATGACATACAAGTCAAGTTTTAAAACCCATTGCTCTAACATTTGAAAAGTTGTCTTTTTTCAACTTAGGAATTGGTTTTGGGTCAGTTAAGTGACATCACCACAGCGCTGATCAGATTCTTTATCTTTAATTTGAAGTCCTTAGCTTTTGCATGGAATAAAACATTGCTAGATAGCTCTGCAATGTATATAATTATCATTGTACTGTTATTTTGTGACTATTGTCTTCCTCTTAAGTCATTAAATTTTCTGAAGCAATAGGACAAACTACCACTGTCTAACTGTTTGTGGTTTGGCACTTGTGTCAAGTTTGCAGAAGAATGGGAAGGTTGTGGAAGATAACACTTTTGGCTACCCAGGGTTGTGAGGGTGATGAACATACTGGGCAGGGGATGGAGATTGTGCTGGTGGAAGAGATCATACATCATGGAAGGAGAACGACTGGGGACTGAGTGGGGAATGTGTATAGTGCACCTATCCTGGTAGGGTTTGGGCACATATATTGTGCAAGAAGATGTGACAGATTACATTGTAGTGGGGAGAGAGTGAGAGCATACATTATTGGCAAGGAGAGTGAGAGCCTGTGTTACAGCAGGTGGGGAGAGTATGCGCATGCATTGGGTTGGGGGAAAATGATAGATTGGATCCTGGCAGGGGTGCAGTTGTGGTTGGAGCAGGAGCCTATGACTGGCAATGGGAAGATTGGAAGCATTCTTGAAGTTGAATTGAATTAGCTTTATTGTCACATACTTAAATGAGTGCTGTGAAAATTTTACAAGTCGCCACTTACGACACCATCTGAGTTACAAAAGTACCTAGTACAGATTTTTCAGTTCAAGTTCTTAGGGAAATAAAACTAGAAAAATAAGGCAGTATAAAGTCCAGTATTGCAGATTGTAGGGATAAATTAGAAAATAAATAAAAACGTTCAGAACGATCCTTCTAGCCCAGTCCACGTTGGCACCTAGCCTCTAGACTGCCCCGGATCTTAATTCCAGATCATGCTGGGCTTCACCTCAAAGTTCTTAAGGCCAGGAGACCACTCTGGAAATACCTCGAGATCAGAAGTTCACCTTGAGGCCATGCTGGGCTGAGAGACCGCCACGTACCACTGAAAGACAATCACACCAAGCCACGAGACCGCCATGTTGGGCTGTTGAGACACCACAGCACCAGGCTGAGAAAACACCACACCAGGCCAGGCCAGGTCTTTGAAGGGGATATAAAGGAAGAAAAAGAATTGACTGGAACTGATGAGCTCCAGCTGAAGTGTCCTACTCTGCCGCCATCTTGGATGAGTTACCAAGGATGAACTCATTGCTTCTCCTGGTTGGAAAGGAGTGCTGAGAAAGGCAGGCACCTTGGGGATCCAACAACTCCAGTTTCCCTTCACTGCTAGATTTCCTGACCAATGGAAAACCCATGAAGCAGACATGAATTTGAATATTCAGCATTCCTTGATAAATGTTCCAGTGTATGGTTGTGTACTAAAGTAAAGCAAAGAATCTGAAATAAAAACAGAAGTTGCTGGAGAAACCCAGCAGGTTGGTAGCATCTGTGGGGAGAAAGCAGAGTTAATGTTTCAATGAAAAGTGAACTGAAAAACGAAAATATGAAAATGAAAACTTCAGAACTGAAGAATGGTCACGGGATGTGCTAACCAATCAGCACTTGGATTACACAGAATGTAAATGTTGGTTTTCCTTTTAAATTGGTAAATTGTCTTGCTATGTGTAAGGCAAAAAGCTTTGACAAAATGTCTTTTTTCAGCAATACTCAAATTCTGTACTACCAGATGGCTATTTATTTTCACTTTATTTTATTATAAAAAGATAGTTTATTACCCATGGATTGTAAAGGATGCAAAATGGCAATTTATTTAGTTCAGTTCCATGTCACTACTTGTATACGTACTAATTTTGTTTTTAACCCCCTTCTAGAGTTTAGCCACATTGAAAGATGGTTTCCGAATTGAGACAGGATTTCACTCTGATCTCTCGACCAGTCATACATCATTATTAAGCACAAACCAACCTGTTAGCTGCCATTTCTCAGACGTTGGGTCCCAGACAGATATTTCAGGAGATGTGAGTGTAAAATCTGTTCAGTTTCTGTACAAATAACTGTGACTATAAGAAATATAAACTAACCTTGTTGATTCTCAGTTCATAGTCTTCACTGTAACTTGGTAGAGATTTTAAATACATAGTCATACTAATTATCTAGGAAGCAGAAAAATTATTTGAAATGCAACTTATATTGAGCCTTTCAGGCTGCTAATGGGGAGTTCAAGAAAATAAACAAAAAATCTCTCATTGATTATAATACATTGCAAGGTGTGGAGTAGAGTGATCCGATTCAAAGCTAATCATTGGTTGAACAGTTGCATAGTAGATTTATAGTTCTTGAAAAATTATGGCCATTAGATTTTCCTGTGTGGTCAGTTTAACCCCTGTTATTAAAGCAAAAGAGATGCTTCTGAGTACTGTGTACTGGATAGTGCATTGACTCATTGTTCTGTTAGCATGCTTCAACAAATTAAGTGCTAATTAAGTATACTTTATTGTGATAATTGTTGCAACTAGATCCCCAGGTCCCCCAATTTATAATTTTCCAGTGTGGTGCTCAAATTGTCAAATTTTCAGGTGAGGAGGGATGTAAAGCTGCCCTTTATTCGGCGGTATCCTCAATTGGTCACATGGTTAATTTAAAAGGGATCCCATTCTTACAGACCAATTGAATTGAAGTTTCAAAAGGAGTCCATTTAAGCAGGTTCTTCTGCGTTAACGAAAGAATAAGGTTACAAGGTTCACAGGGATGATCCCTGGTATGGAGGGATTGTCTTTTAAGCACATAATAAACAGGTTGGAACTCTTTTCACCAGAGTTTAGAAGAATAAGAGGTATATTAGATTCTTAAGGGGCTTGACAAGATAAATGCTAAGAAGATGCTTCCCCTTACGGGAGAGTCTACGACTACAGGGCATAGTCTCTGAATAAAGGGGTGGCAATTTAAAACTGAAATAAGGAGGAATTTCTTATCTCAGAGGGTTCTGAGTCTTTGGAACAGACAGCTGTTGGGACAGAGTCCTTGTGTACATTTTAAGACTGAGATTGATTCTTGATCAGTAGGGAAGTCAAGGGTTATGGGGAAAAAGGAAGGAAAGTAGACATGAATGGGGAATGTCGGATCAACCATGATCCGATTAAAGTAGGTGAGAGTGGCCGAGCATCCTACTTCTGTTCCTATTTCTTCTGGTTTATTAGTTACTAAATGCAAGAAGAAGTAATAAAACCACTAATACAAACTGATGAGAAATGAGATGTGAATCTAAAAAATATAAAAGTCTTAAAAAAGATACATGGATCAGACTCTGAGTTTTGTGAATAGTTGACCATGGGACATTGTAGCTGTTATGTTGGGTGATGCTGGTAATGTGGATGTTGGTTGGACTGCAATTAATTTTGCATTGCAAGCTTTGCAGGGAGCTGAAGGGCGCCTTTTGTCCTACTTGTCAATTGGGATTTTGCTTGCTTTCTGGTTTCAGCAAAGAAGTAGACTTTTTTTCTTTTTGCTTTTCTTTCCCTGCAAGTTGGCTCAGTTGTGACCCTCGTAGCATATACCTTTGCCCACTGGCACTCCCAGACTGAGCTTGAAACTAGCTTTTAGCTCCTGTTCTTGTGCATTCCTGAAAGGGGGAAACTCTGACATCTGCAGTTTGGAACACATTTACAGGAGATGGCTTTCTGGTAATAGGGAAGAGTAGTCAGCATCTTGTGATTTTATGTTGCTACAGAAAATCACTTGCCTTCCCACCCTTCTGAAGGGTTGCTGTTTGAAGTTCCTCTAGCCTAGTCAGTTGTGACCTTCAGGGTTCCTATTCAGATAGACATCGAACTTACATCCCCAATCATCTTTTAGCTGTGTCTTATTTTTTAAAAAATGCATGTAATTAACAGTTCAGTTCATAAGTACTTTGGGGTTCTGATCCATTGTTATGGCATAATATGACATTCATACTTTGCTACTGTTAAGCTGTTTTGCATAATTTATGCATTTTGAAATAATGTTGTAAACTTAACTGGGACATCACCGTGAACACTTAAGTGTCACCAGCATCCTGCAAAAAGCATAAATCCAAGAATCAATTGACCCTTCTTGAATCTGCATGTATTAGAATAATAAATCTGATCTAGTACTTACATAGTGCAATGCAAGCTGCTTTCTGTAGTATTTTGATACTTATCACTGAGTTTCAAATGAATAGTAACCACTTATGGGATATGTTTTGGGGTGACTATTAGTCAATGCCTCCAGGAGGGGACAGGCAAAAAATTGCCTTAAAACAGATGAAAAATGGACATTCCTGGAGATGATTGCCAATCCAAAGTGTCTTAACTCCTTTTTATTGTTTTTTTTCTCTTTCTTATTTTTATTGTATTTGTGAAGACAGTACATTTACAGCACTAAAGAAGTAATAGCAAGGGTTTTCCAAGAAAAGCCATTGTTGGAGTTTTCGTCATCATGATGGAATAGATAAGAAAGAAACTAAGTGGGGGCAGTCTGACCTAGTTCAACAACAGGAATGGTGTTAGAGGATATGATGAGCTGTCTCAGAACATAAAAACAAAAGAAATAGGAGCAGGAACACAGTATTTGGGCTGCCAAGCCTGCTCCACCATTCGGTAAGATCATGTTGATCAGATAGTGGCCAGTCTGCACTTCCTTGCCTGACCTCCGTAACCCCTGACCTGATCAAAAGTTTGTCAGACTGCCTTGAATATATTCAGTGATGCAGCCTCCCCTACTTTCTGAGGAAGTGAATCCCTTCTGTTTAGAGGTTAAGAAAAGATGAGTATTGCATTAAGGTCACATTCACAAAGGAAATTGTTTGGACTTTGACTGTCATTGCAAAACATTTAGACAGGAATTTACTGTTGTGTCCTGCTTTCCCACTTTGAATTTACATGTGATAATGATCTTCAATGAATCGAAAAGCAACATAAAAGACTTCTTGTTTTTCTTCTGGTCATCCTGTGTTGTAATTTATATGAGGAAGGCAGCTATGTCTTTCAAGGTTTATCCGAGGCAATTTTTAATCAGCCCCAAGAAAATATGAAAACTATGGAGCAGGAAGCCCCCTGCTTCGAACTGTTGTCTAAAACTGATGCAGTCTTTTTAAAAATGTGTGAGTTATAAATCAATATCAGTTGAAATGTAACATTTCCTTCATGGTAAGACGGTGAGCTGTGGAGGAGCTAAGGGATTTGGGTATCCATGGAAATCATTCTAAGTTGCTAGCTACAAAAAGTATTTAAAAAGGCTAATAAAATGCTAGCCCTCATCTCAAGTTTGAATCCAAAATCAGTAGGTAATGCTGGAGTTTGCAGAGCCTTGGTCAGATTTTTACTGGGATATAACCTTCAGGTTTCGGTATCAAACCTCAGAGAAGATAACAGTAGATCTGATAGAAGTGCAGCGCAGATTGATCAGAATTTACCATGGTGTGAACAGCTAAATTAAGGATAATTTTTTCTTGTACTTCCTTCAGTTGAAAAGGTTGCATGATTATCTAATCAAAGTGTTTAAAATAAAATGTATTTTTAAGCTAGACAGAGAGAGGTCCAGTGAGGGAATCAAATAATAGAAGGCCAGAGTTCTGGTTCAATTGGATAAGTCAGGAAGCACTTTTTCCAGATAGACTATGGTAATCTAGTTCATGCGCACTTCCTAAATGTTATTATTGCTGAGTCAATTGAAATTCTCAAGACTGGAATCATTTTATTTTGTTCTGTAATGATTTCAAGACATCTGGATTAACAGTACGTAAGTGAAGTTAAAGTGTCAGTCAGTTGTAATCCTATAGACTCGGAGGTCTTATTGGTCTGCTCTTTAACAGGACATAGTGATTTGATTATTTTGCACTGTACTGTTTCAGACAAAAATGAGCTACATGGCTTAAAAAGTGAATGGTTAACTTGTTACACCTTTTAAGTCAAATCTAGACAGAATTTGCACTGAATTAACCACTTATATCAGCCAAAACCAAAACCACTAGCCTGTAATTTTTGTTAGTGCTCTATTTTTACCATGTCTTGTACTTTTCAGTTTGTTTCCAGCAATAATGCCAAACTGGCTGAGAAGGTGAGACTAAGCCTGCAATATGAAGAAGCAAAGCAAAGGTTAGTGCTAAACAAATTTCTGGTAATTGTTTCTCAAGCAATCTGATCATGTCAGCACTGGCTGAAGATTTTGTTTTCCAAGATTCACTTTAGGCAAGAAAGTTTAGGTTAACACTTTGTTGCATTACTGAGCGAGTATTACACAGTTGTAGGTGCCAAGTCTCAGGTGAGATGTTAAATCAAGAGCCTGCCTACTTTCTCAGATGCATTTAAAAGATCCTGTTGTACTTCATGAAGAAGAAGAGGGTTATCTACGATCTCCTGGCCAATATTTAGGCTGCATTTGCTGGCACAAGTGCATTATGCACTACTTTAAATTACAGGGCTGCATTTGAACAATGCTGGGACACATGGTTCTGAATGAGAGGGAGATTGGGATCAGGGAGAGCAGTGTCAGGGTTTGGATTGAGAGCCTGTTTCCTCACCTCCCACCCCGAATTTCTTGCCCACGATTCCTCCAATTCTCTCCTTCCCTCCATTTTCCTGTCTTCTCCTCCAGTTTTGACCCTTCTCCTTGATCTCTCCCTCTGTCCTTTCTCTCCTCCTCCATCTCCCTGTTTTCCCCATTTTTCCCCTCTATTCCCTCCTATTCTTTCCTGCTCCTTTGATCTCCCTCCTCTTCACTGACCTGCTCCAATTCTGTCCAGCCCCTACAGATTCCCTCTCAACTGGCCAATTCTCTCCCCATGCCATCTGATTCTCATTTCCACCTGCTCCACATCTGATTCTTTCTCCCCACCCATCTTATTCTCTCCCACCTTAATGATTCCCTCCCTTCCCTCCTCACTTGAACAATTTCCCCCACCATGCTTTCTCTCTTCACATGTCCTGACTGTCTGTCATTGAACACTATTTCAAAAGTGTTCACTTTTTAAGGCACATGCCTAGCGCGATGCTTGCATATGATGTGACTGTATGTTCTATGTGATGAAGCATTGTCTAGAATCGTGCGCATATGCATTTCTGGTTTAGCGTGCCTGCTTAGTTGATGGCAGGTGGAGTTAGCAAACACTGCCCAATATTTATCACTCAGTCAACATCACAAAAGCATTATCTGACACTTAGCTCATTGCTGTTTGTGGGAAGTCTCTGTATGCAGCTTGGCTGCTGGTTTCCTACGTTGCAAAGGTTGACTATGCCTCACAAATACTTAATTAAGTATAATGTGCTTTCAGATCCCTGAAACTGTGATACTATATAAATGCAAATCATTTTTCTACAGATAAAGAGTCAAGATTCATTGATTTTAATAATTTTCATGAGACATTATTATTTTTGTTATATTATGATGAAAAGAAATTGCCTTTTCTACTCTTACAAGCAGTGAGTTCCTGACCTAACAACAATCAGTGCTGACTATGTATGATATCCTGGATTTCCATTGAGTTGGGGAGACTCTGTGGAGGGATGAAAATGTGGTTTATTTTTTAAAAGAAAGCTTTAAACTGAGCCAGTCATGCACTGATAACTTCCCAACCTCTTTAAAAATCCTCCTCTTTGCTTCAGGCCATTAAATGTATCAAACATCCAGCCCTTTAAAATATCAACAGCAGAAACTGTAAGTCCTGGAAATCTTTTTATCACTTATGAGCAAACGCTATGCACTTGACAGCAGAGATTGCAGAGCCATCAATTAAGTAATGTTTTCTATGGGCTCAGCTGCTTCAAAGACTAATGGTTATCTGGGAAAACAGCCAAGAATATTTTCAACCAAGAAAGCTTATTTTTTTACACAGTCTTGTTATTATAGGGCTCATTAACTCTATACAGTAGTGGGCGAATGAGCATGGAAATACGATAGCTTTGAATTGGTGGTATGATAGGCTATAGGGGGTTAGTGGGAAGTCATACCTCAGCCTGACAGATGATTGAGGTGGGCAGTGGGGCGTAATGTTTCTGAATGGTGCACGCGGTTCCAAAGGGGATGGGTGAGGTGCACATTTGGCATGGAATGGGCATAAGGGGCCATGTTATGTGGGTAGAATGCATGAAGCGGAATGGATAGTGCATACAGAGAGGGTGAGTGCTTGTGGGTATTAAAAATTAAAACTGGGACAAAGTTCCAGGGCACATCTTTGAAGTGGCCATCTTAGCATTCAGCAGTATCTGAGGCTTTTTTGAAGTTTCTCTCGAGATGGCGGTTCGAATTGTATCATGAACCCATCCACCAAGAATTGAAATACTGTTTTTTCAGGCTCTTTTTCTCCAGATGCGGGCAAAATGAGCCAGGAGATTTCCGATTTTGGGCAACTCACCTCAAGGATGAGAATCCAGGCCGATGAGGTTTTGTTTGGTAGCTATGACAAGTCTACAAAAGTTTTAGGCAAAAACCTGAGGGAAATTTCTGAAGAAGGGTCACTGGATTCAAAATATTAACTCTGATTTCTCTCTGCAGATGCTGCCAAACCTGCTGAGATTTTCCAATAATTTCTATTTTTGTTCTACAAAAATCTTTTTACTCAACAATCATATGTTCAATTATGCTATTTCTAGAAATTGTATGTTGCTGTCCTCCTCAGTTCAGATTTGTGCAGAATGCCTCAGGCCTAATGCCAAAATGATGATCCGTGTGAAAAGCTACTGTTTGGTTTTGGTAGTGATTTTATTTTATTGGCAGGATTTCAAATATCAAGATTGAACTGGCTAAACTTACCAGTGAGGCATGGCCTGGAGTATTAGATGCAGAACGGGACAGGCTGATACTGATCAATGAGAAAGAAGAACTTTTGAAGGAACTGCAATTTATAAACCCTCGTAAATGGGCACACGGTGAGGTAGAGCAGCTGGAGATAGAAAGGAAGCGACTGGCAGATGATCTCCAGGCTGCAAGGGACACACAAAGCAAAGCACTGACAGAAAGGTTTGTGACCCAGCTTCTTGAGATAATTGCAGCAATGTGAAGAGATATCTTTTAATTTATGTATCTGTAAGCAAGCTTTTTTTATTTTGAAAATGCACACGAAAATTGCTGACAAATTGACCAAATTACTTTGATTATCTGATACTGTATGGAATAATAGAAGATTTGTGAACCATAGAAACAAGTGATGACACGTACCTGAATTGCCAAACAATTTGTTTTATTCTCCTTTCACAGGATGTGGGCATCATTGGCTAGGCCATAATTTCATGCCTATCCTAATTGCCCTTGAGATGCCTTGCTGTGCGTCTTTTCCACTTGCTGTATTATTCCTCAAAAATAAGGAAACAAAAAGATAATAGTTGAAATTCTTTCGGAATGGCCATGAAGAACTCACTTAAATTAAATTCTGTATATTTTTGGTCTATAAATGACCATTGGTTTGGATTATCTTTAAGAGCTGGCACAATAAAGATCATCTTTACAGTAAGAATATATCTGCACTGTTAAAATAACAGCATTGAGAGGTGAAACGTGAAAATATATCTCGAAACCTCATTTATGAAGAACCTGAAATTTAGGGAGGATTCTATAAGAATACTAGCAAGGACTATGACCCTTAGTTCCAGATTTCGCAAACAAGAAATCCAGCTCTCAGCACCTACCCTAATACACCTCTGAAGTGTGGATATATACATTTATTTTAATGAGATCATCTCTCATTTTTGTAAACTCTAGGAAATATATGCATTTAGTTTACTGAATCCTCCCACATCAGGAATCAGTCTAGTGTACAGTTTAGTGATCTTTTTTGCAGTTCTTTTACAGCAAGTGTATACCTTCCTAGCCACAGAGATGGTTTAATGTTGCAATTCACAGTGATTAGTTCGTGATAATGTTATTTATTCTACAGATTAAAGATGCATAGCAGGAGAAATAACTTGCTGAGGGAGTTAGAAGAAGCAACACGTTTAGCCTCAACGTTGCATTCACAGCTACAGAGGTATGTTGTTGCATGAAGATGTGCACAGGTTAATTGTTGAAATAATATGTGAATCAAAGAATCATGTCAAATAACAGATCATATTTAATTCTGTGTTTGGAAAGTTCTTTATAAACCATGAATCTATGTTATTTCCACATATTTTAGAAACCCACCTTGTATAAAATGAGCTAAATACTTGTTTTGCACATGCTGTGTTTTAACTCAGTAGATTTAGATTTTTGTAATTAAGTCACATTTGCTGTATTAATATATTTCATAACTTTTTTTTTGTCTTAGTCTCTCAACCAGTACTTTGTCACTGTCATCTGGAAGTAGCAAAGGGTCATTGACGTCTAGCCGTGGATCCCTTGCTGCATCCAGCCAAGAATCTTCAAGCTCTGTTAGCTTTACTGACCTGTATTATGATCATCCAGAACACACAGTAGACTTTGACTATCAGTATAAATTGGACATTTTGCTACAAGAGGGCACTTCAGGCAATAGACCAGCAGGCTCCATTACTACCATTCATGAAAATGAAGTGGTCAGTTCTCGCAATGATTCCTCTTACTTAGACACATATGAAACTTCAAGCAAGATTCAAGCACGGAGGTCTTTGTCTGAGACGCCGAAATCTCTTACTTCGCTGTCACCTAGGTCTTCCTTGTCCTCCTTGTCGCCACCCAGCTCTCCCTTGGTAATAGACCCTCATTTTATGGTTCCTTCAGGGGAACCCCTTATGAACCATGTTGGTACAGGCATTGAAGGCATAGGACTGCTTGCTGATATTGCTAACTTTGGTTTACACATTGAAGATGATAATCAGATTTCTTCAAGATCTACACTACCAAATAAGATCTTGTCACCGTCTCTAAATTTGGAAGCTGAAATTGGATCAGAATCAGGACTTTGTAGCAATTCATCAAAAATACTGCGTGAAGAGTTGGGAATTTCTATGAAAAGCAATGAAGGAATAGAAGGTAAGGTATACAATGCTAATTTCATGAAATGACTATATTAATATTTATAATGGTTAATACACGAAGAGTTATTTCCTTGGCTCTAAGGCTGGTGAGATGTTGCAAAGTGTGAACTTGGTCTTTCTATTTTTGCAGAATGTGTTGAACATGTCTTGATATTTCATAGCCTGAAATAATGGAGTCCATAAAAATGTTTTATTATTATGATAAAGTTAGATTGCAGTTGATACAATGAATCATTTCCGTAAACAACAATAAGCCATCAGTTATTTTGAACATTGTGCCATTGGCAGGTCATTCCTGAAAGCGATCTATTGGCTGACATACGGTGCGTGATCTTAAGAGTTATAATGAAGCTCAATATGTGGAATCACTACCTAGTAATCTTACTACTAACTTGATAGGAAGAAAATAGAACAAGGTCACTGAAACACCAGTAAAACTGTACAGATAATTTCATTACAAATGATAATGAAACGTAAGATGGTCGGGATAAGGATTGGTTTCGTGAGACACAAGGCCCAACCACTTTCAACTATTATAAAGTCAGAGGTGTGCAATCATTGGTGAACATCCCCAGTGTTCAGCACCATTTGGGACTTCAGTCAGATACTGAAGCAGTTCAAATTCAAATGCAGTAAGATTTGGAAAATATCCAGCCTTGGGCTGACAAGTGGCAAGTAACGTTCACGCCACACAAACACCATGCAATGACTGTCTCCAAAAAGAAGCAATCTAACCACCACCTCTTAACGTTCAATGGTGTTACCATTACCGAATCTCCACTATCCGTATCCTGAGGTTACTATTGACCAACTGGATTTGCCATATAAATACAATGACTACAAGAGCAGGTCAGAGGCTAGGAATGTTGCACTGAATAACTCGTTTCTTAATTCTCCAATGCCTGTCCGCTATCTACAAGGCATAAGTCAGGATTGTGATGGAATATTCTCCAGTTTCCTGGATGGGTGCAGCTCCTACAATACTGAAGAAGCTTGACACCATCCAGGACATAACAGCCTGCTTGATTGGCACCAAATCCACAAGCATGCAATCCCTCCACCACTGGCACTCATTAGCAGCAGTGTGTACCATCTACAAGATGCACTGCAGAAAATTCGCCAAAGATCCTTAGGTAACATCTTCCAAACCCACAACAACTTCCATCTAGAAGGATGAGTGTAGTAGATACATGGGGATACCACGATCTTCAAGTTCCCCTCCAAGCCACTCTTCATCCTGACTTGGAAATATATTGCTGTTTCTTCACTGTTGCTGAGTCAAAATCCTCGAATTCCCTCCCTAATGTCATTGTGGGTCTACCTATAACACATGGGCTGCAGCAGTTGAAGGCAGCAGCTCACTGCCACCTTCTCAAAGGGCAATGAGGGACGAGCAATAAATGCCGGCCAGCCATCGATGTCCACGTCCCATGAGTGAATAAAGAAAACTCCTTGAAAAATGTTTTGGCTTAGATAACTGATCTGTTACACCATCTTCCTTTTTATTCAAGTATGATTGCAGTCACCAACCTATTTTCTTTTATATTCTTCCTTGACTTTTATTTAGTTAAATGCCAGACGCTTTTTTTAATTATATGTCTAAATGATGCTTTTTTGGTTAATTTTTGTGTGAATAGGGCAATCTCAGCTCTGACAGGAAGAATTATTTGCTAAATGTTGTGAGTTGGTTTCGTCTTTGGGAATTGGACATGAAATTTGTGCCATATAAATGCCAGGAAATGACCATTTCCAACAAGAAAGAATCTAACCATCATTCCTTGACCTTTAATAACATTACCATCGCTGAATCCCCCACAATCATCATCTTTCATTCACTGCTTATGACATGAATAAAAAAAACATGTTTTTTGTCTTTATTATTTTTAGGGGATGTGCATGTCCAGCCTATGGAGGTGTTGAATTATCAAAACTGCACTTTTTCATATGATTTATTACAGCATTAAATGGCCCTCTGCAGTGAATGTAAAAAAAATCCCTGGTAGTATTTAAGCGGTTGGCTTTTGTACTAGATCAATTAAGAGTCTACTAAGTAGATCATGTACTGTCTTTTACTCTCAGTTTGTCATGTGGTGTTATGTTAGTAATGTCAATGCCATTAGGAGTGCAAGACTTCTATTTTAATATGAAATATATGAAGAAAACAAAAGGAAAGTCTGTCCTGCAGTGTTGTATCATAGGTCATCAGTCTCATGACTTCTTTCGTGCATACTGTTGTGCTTATTAGATGGCACAGTTGCTGGTAATGGTGCTGGTGGACCTATTATCTTTGTAACACCAGCAAAGGAGCTTATTTTAAAGGAGCGAACTCATTTGCTTCTCTTGAATTCTCAAAATTCCTATAGCTTTTTGCAGACCTGGTCTTAAAAAATGCAACAGGAAGTGGGAAATGGAGGTAAAATATTAATTTATTGATGGAAATTTTTTTGCTTTGGAATAGTACAACATTTTAATTGGATGTGGAGCTTTTTCCTGAAGGAGAAAAATTCTATCGGTATTACAAATTTATGAGAAGTTAAAAGATCTTCTGAGTGCTGCTCTTACATAAAAACCTTTTTTTGTCATATAACATGATGTTATTCTCTGTTCAGTCTTTATTTATTTTCTACTCTTTCTTGTGATGTTCGTTTTTATCTGTCTCCTATTTTTTCCCTCCCTCACTCTTTTTCAGTTTTACTTTTTTGTAAATCTGCTCTACGTTCTTCCATCATTCAATATCTGCAGGATCCTCTGACCTCTTCCTTTTACAAATGTTCTCTGTGTCCATCTCTTTTTAAAGTCTAGTATGCACCGCAATATGGTGGCAAGCATTAATGGATAGGAGCAGTGTACTGCAGATGGATATCTAAAATAAAAACACAATGCTGGAGAAACTCAGCAGGTCTGGCAGCATCTGTGGAGAGAGAAAAACAGTTACCATTTGAATTTGAAATGACTCTTCCAGAACTGACTGGAGATTCTGAAGAAGAGTCATATCAGACTCAAAGTATAAACTCTGTTTCTCTCTCCACAGATGCTGCCAGGCCTGATGAGTTTCTCCAGCATTTTCAATTTTTATTTACTGACTAAGAATTGAGTATCAAACTGGAGATGGTAGGGTGCGGTTGGATGAAAACTGGCGGTTGTCATTTAGGCATGGCAAAACAAGGTCAAAGGACGTCATTGGCATTTGAGAAAACAGACAGAAGATTGGTTGTGTAGTAAGGATTGGTATCCATCAACATGAGCAGACTTAAGAAATCTGGAATTGAGGTTGTGAGCAGTTGCTAGGACTAGACAATGTGGTGATAAGATGACACTTGTTTAAAGGTGAGGATGGTTAAATGTGAAATGTTAATTTCGTAAGAAGTGTGCAATGGCAATGCTGGAGTCTGGGAACACAGAACATCTTGCTGCACTGCGTGAGGTCAGTGGTGGAAACTGACTTTAGATGACCGTTAAATGCAATTTCTGAAAAAAACACAATTTGATTTGTGATGTGTAAAGCAGCTTTTACTCAGCTATTTACTCAGATGAAATGCTATTTTATTTGTTGGCTTGTAATCAGTTGGATACTTAAACTACCACCAGTCTTGATTTCTTGTCTTATTATAAACGATGTTGTATTTGAACCAGTTGAAAGTTTCAACCCATAGAATCTATGACTGGATGATGGGTCGATACATGACCTTTCATATTGTTTTTAACAAAGGATTTGCTCTAAACTTGTACTGTTAGATAATCTGATTGCACTGAATTATTGTAATCACGTTACTTGCACAGGCTTTCTTTATTGGAATCTTTAGGACTGATTAGTCCATCAGGAAATGGAATAATTCCATAATAGCACAAGGGACCAAATGCCTGTTGTTGCCCTATTTGTTATGGTTTTATAATGAGTAATTGAAAAGATTTTGTGTTTGGCCTGTAATTCAGCACATACAATATTGGCGAAATTTGAGTTCTATCTCTGCTTGATAATCTTTTGATTAATTTAAATAGTCAGCTGGCTTATCAATACCAGTGACAAATGTGTTGCTAATTAGAAGTAGTGATGACTTAATGACAATGAAAGATATTCATTTGGACAATCGATGCTCAAGACAGCCATCAGCTTTTTTCAATTAAATGCGGCATTCAGTTAGAATTAGCTCTCATGTTGAAGAATCTATTTGGCATGTATGGGTTCCATCAATAAGCAAGTAAGGTCTTGCCAATGATTTATTATATTATCTATGTTATTATCTATTTCTAGAACAAGTATTCCAAACTGTTAAAAGAAATTGTGAGAGAGGTGGTGGCATAATGGTATTGTCACTGAACTAGCAGTCCAGAATTCCAGGCTTTGGACAAAGATGGACAGAAGAACCATATTCTTGAGGGGACTTGAAGGTGATTGCAGGACTTTAATGCGCATATGACCTGAGTATGACATCAATAACACTGAGTAAAACTTCATGAAATGGGAATCAGGAGGAAAATTCTCCACTGTTTGCAGTCAAAACTATCAAAAAGGAAAGTGGTTGTTGTTTTTGGAAGATAATCAGCTCAGTCACGAGGCATCACTATAGGGTAATATCCTAACCACATTTACCTTTGGCTGCTTCATCAAAGGCCATTCCTCCATCATAAGGTCAGATGTGGGGATGTTTGCTGATGATTGTGCAATGGATTGGACTGGTAAATGGCAAATAACATTTGCACCGCACACATTGCTAGGCAATGACCAACTCCAGTGAGAGAGGATCTAGCCATTGCTCCTGACCTTCAGTTGAATTGCCATAACTGCATTCTGGACCATCAACATTCTCAGAATACCATTGACCAGACATGAACTGGACCAGCCATATAAATGCTAGGGCTGCAGGAGTAGGTCAAAGACTGGGAAAAATTTTGTGGTGAGTATCTTGCCTCCTGACACCTCAAGCCACCTCTTTAAGGCATAAGTATGAAATGTGATACAATGCTGTCCACTTGCCTGGATGAGTGCAGCTCTGACAACAAGAAACTGAACATCATCCAGGACAAAGTAGCCTGCTTGATCGGCTTCCTGTTTAATACCTTCAAACTTTCACTCCATGAAACTCTCACAGTGGCAGCTGTGTATACCATCTACAAGATACACTGAAGAAACTCACCAAGACTCCTTCATGACTACTCTCCAAATATGTGACTTCTATTATCTAGAAAGACAAGGGAAGAAGGTGCACGGAAACACCACCATCTGCAAATGGCACTCCAAATCGTTCACCTTCCTAATTTGGTAGAATCTTATAGGCATCAGAATGACTTGTTGATTTTCTCACCATCTTCTGCAAACCCTGTCTCGTAAATATAACCTTTACGGTGACCAGCCAGATTAGTAGTGGTACCACCCAGCCCATGTTGTTGATGGACATTGTACTCCGGTTGATGACTATCGTTCTGTGTCTTCGCCACCCACAATGTTTAAGATGGAGGTATGCTGATCCATCAGTTGAAGGAGGATGGTGGGTAGCAAGCAGCAGGAGATTTCATTGCCCAGGTTTGACCTGGTGCCACGAGGCTCTCTGGGGGTCCGGTGACAATACTGATGACTCCCAATGCAACTCCGTCCTGACTGTCTGCCTTTGTGTTGCCATCTTTGGTGGGTTTGTCCAGTTGAAGGACAGAACATACTCAGAATGATGATGAAAGAGTCTGGGTTAGTGGTTATAAGGTTTTGGTGTATATAACTTTGTCAGGGTGCTGCTTGATTAGTTTTGTGGGACATCTATCCCAATTTTGACTGAAGACCCTAAAGTACCAAGAAGTACTTTGTAGGGTTGTTTAGGCAGGTTGTGCCTTTGTTATTTCTGGTGCCTAGGTTTTTTCTGGTTGGTCCAAATGGTTTATACTTTTAAGTTTGCTGTAGCAGTTTGATGCAACTGAGTGGCTTCATAGGCAATTTCTGAAGACAGTTAATGGCCAATCAGATTACTGTTGGTCTGGAGTCATGTTTAAGATAGTACAGATTAAGACTGCCTGGTTTCCTGCCCTAAAGGATACCAGTGAACCAGACAGAGCTTTATGACAATCCAGTACTTCTGTGATCATTATTGATGAGATTAGCATTTTATTCCTTCTTATGTAAACAGCTTTATTTGTACCAAAGTTTTCTTTAGAAATGTTGGCCAGGTCAACACACATACGAATACTCTTAAGAAGGTCACGAAGGCTGAACTCTGTCTCGTCCTTTCTCTCACACACATGCACATGCCAACACTCTGTTTTTTTTTTATCACTGAACAGGCACCTCATTGTAGCATTGCAAAACAAATTCTGCACAGAATGTTTGTTCACAACCCCACCTTGCTGAATATTTTAAAGCCTATTTCCATTTCTAAGTTTTGACTTTGGTTGTAACCTACAAGATTGTAAAAGTTTTGATTTAGTGTTCAGGAGTGTATTCAGCATCATCCTTTTTACTTGAATGTCCTATGCCATACAAACGTACAAACTAGGACCAAGAGTAAGCCTCTTAGCCCCTTTGGTTTGCTCCACCGTTCATTAAGATTGCGGCTAATCTGACTACTTCATATTTCCAACTAACCCCAATAACATTTCATCCCCTTATTACCTCTGTCTATAAATATTCAATGATGCCTTTGAGGAAGTGGTTTCAAAAGCCTGAAGACCATACAGAAAAAGAAAACCTCCTCTGTCTTAATGTACAACCCCTTATTTGTAAATGTTGATCTCTTTCTGGATTCCCCCATGAGGAATCATCCTTTCCACACCAACCCTGTCAAGACTCCTCAGAATCTTGTATTTCAATTGTCTCATCTCTTATTCGTCTAAACAGTAGTGGATACAAGCCTAGCTTGTCCAACCTTTCCTTATAAGACAAACCACCATTTCAGATATTAGTTTAGTAAATTCATTACTGCTTTTGATACATTTATATCTTGATGTGGTTTCACTAATGTCTTGTTAAACTGAAACATAATTTCCCTACTCTTGAATTTGATTCTCCTCACATCATTAGCAATAACATGCTATTAACTTTCCGAATTATTTATTATACCTGTGATTCATGCAGCAGATCATTCAGATCTCTTTGCATCTCAGAGTTCTGCAGTCTCTCTACCATTGAGCTATTTGTTTTAATTCTTTCTGCCAAAATGGATAATTTCACATCTTTCCACATTAAACTTCATTTCCCAGATCTTTGTCCACTCACTTAACCTATCTATATTCCTCTGTAGTCTTCTCATGCCCAATTCACAATTTACTTTCCTATTTTGTGTCATCAACAAATTTAGCAACAATTCCTTCAGTCCTGAATCACATGGCACACCATTTGTTATATCTTGCCAACCAAAGAAGTGCATACTCTGTTTCCTGTTAGTTGCCCAAATTTCTTTCTATGCTTATACGGTGCCCCCATGCCAAGAGTTTCTAGTTTTTGTAATAACATCTGATGTGGCACCTTGTCAAATGCCTTCTGGAAATTTAAGTACATCCACCGATTCTCCTTTTATGTACAGCACATTGTTACTTCCTCAAAGAACTCAATAAATTGGTTAAACATGATTTTTCTTTCATAAAGCCATACTGATTTTCCTGATTACTTTGAACTTTTGTAAACGCCTGCTCTAATGTCTTTAAGAATAGTTTCTCTGTGACAGATGTTAGCTAAATAGCCTGTAGTTTTGTGCGTTCTATGTCCCTCCCATTCTGAATAAAGGAGTTACTCACCATTTTCTAATCTAATAGAACCTTCCCTGAATCTGTGAAAGTTAAGAAATTTAAAACTAACGCATCAACTGTTTCACAAGCTGGTGTCATTGTAAAGTTTTCTGTCCCTTTGTTATTTCTGGGATTTGCAGTTTTCTCAATTGCAATTGCAATTACTCTGAGAAATTAAACCAAATGACTGTAATTCTTGTGAGAAAATTAAAATGGTTTGCACTAATGATACCTCCTCCTTTTTCTGTTCAGATGCCAGCACTCAAACTGAGATGTCTGGACCAGCAATCCATCGCAAAATTACTTGTGTTTCTGCAGCTGTATCAGATGAGTCAGTGGCAGGTGACAGTGGTGTATATGAAGTGGTCAAAAGGTATGTAATACATTCTACAGGTACACACTTTTCTTTAATCAGAGCAGAAGAAAGATTTTCTTTAGATAACAAGGTGTAGAGCTGGATGAACACAGCAGGCCAAGCAGCATCAGAGGAGCAGGAAAGCTGACATTTCGGGTCTGGACCCTTCTTAAGCTCCTCTGATGCTGCTTGGCCTGCTGAGTTCATCCAGCTCTACACCTTGTTATCTCAGATTCTCCAGCATTGGCAGTTCCTACTATCTCTGAAAAGATTTTCTTTAGTCTTGTTTAGAGTGTGGGCTTGCAAAGCCCTGTTATCTTTAGTTTTGAACCTTGCCATTTTCTGTACTCCATTATGTAACCAAAACTTCCTTCAATGAAATTGTTTAGAATTCAAGTACAAATACTATAAAGTACAAAATAGCTCCTTGACTAAAAAGCTGTGCAGTTTGTACTTAACATGTTATAATCTAACCCTAGATCGTGTGAGATAGAAGATGTACTTTCTGATGATGAAACTGATGCACTAGCTGCTGCCAGACTCCAGATTGGAATGAAGTAAGATCTGAGGTCCTCTTATTATTGTCAAACAGATTTTAAATTGTTGGCAACTTGAAAACAATAACCATCTGTTTTTATAAGTGAGATTAACTTGCTTGTCAAGTTCACTTGAAGCATAATGAGAGGAGAAGAATTCTGAAAAGTTAACACTGAGGAGTTAGAAAAGATGTGGTGGCAAAACAACAGAAATGGAAATTGATTGAAAAGTTGCAAATATTTGAAGGCCAAACCTTCACGAAGCTGGCCAAATTACATTTCTTCATTTTTGCATAATATTTTGATGACTTGATATTACTCAGCAAAGTTTCATTTTTACTTTAACAGTAAGTGTCCTTTTTTTTACAGGTATGATGATAAAAGCAAAAGATTTGCTATTTTTATTATTCAATTGAGTAACCTAGCAGCACTATCATTACCACAGAACCGTACAGTGTAAGTAGAAAACCACTTTGATATGGTTGCACAACAGTGAATCATAACTTAATGTTATTGCTTTTGTTGCACTTTACATAATACAAGATCCAATTAAGCTGATTGAAGAATTGATCAAGTTAGCTGTAAGGGAACTAGCTGTGATGACTTTCTGGAAAGTGAATGCTTCTCATTATCCTCCCGTTCCTTTAGACTGCATATTGTTGAATACCAGCATATTTGTTTGTCATGCTATTATATAGATATAGAAATAAAAAAACACACATTTTGAGTTTGACAGAAAGGTAACTATTTGGTCAGGACTCTTCTGGATTTATGGGTCAAAAGTGCTCCTGCTTAAAATGCATCAGCAATGTTCATTGGAACAATTATCAGGCTTTAATCAGTTATTATGTGGTAGTATCTCTACCTCTGGACCAGGAGGCATGGGTTCAAGTTCCACCTGCTCCAGTGTATAGTGTGGCATCTCTGAATAGATTGATTGGTAAATATCTACCTTTCACAATGTTACCAAGAAGATTTGCAGCAACAAATCAGTGGACTGGATCTGTGTACTTGCACTGAAACTATATTAGTTTTCAATGTACTATGCAGTCCACAGCTTTGGCTTTGATGAAAGCTTAACAAAACTCAACAGGCTGCGTACGTGAGCAAACAAATTATTTGTCACAGAGAAGTAATTTAGTTATAACTTTAAAACTACTGTTCATTGCAAGAGGGAACTGAACAAAATAAAAGTGTGTTTTTATGTTTTCATTAAGCTTTGTGATTTTGCATAAACAGAGTAGTCAAAGATACACAAAATCAATTCAGTCAGGAGAGGTGTGAGTGTATGTAAAAATCTAGCAGGTGTCCTAGCACACACACATGAACAAGGCACAAAGGTAGGCCATTTGGTCCTTCGAGGCTGCTCGGCCATTCAATAAGGTTATGATTTTAATCTTAACTCTACATTCCTGCATACCCTGATAATCTTTCATCCTCTTGGTAATCAAGGAGACTCTGCATCTACTGCCTTTTGAGAAAAGGAACTCTGGGACTCAAAACTTACAGAGGAAAAAAAAACTGCAGTATTACCAGTGGCAGGGATGGTGTTAAAAACATGAGAACCTTTAACGTGCCAATGTTTCAAGAATCTAGAAAGGTCTGGCAGCATTTGTGGAGAGAAATCAGAGTTTGCTAGAAGGATCACTGGACCTGAAACATTAACTCTGATTTCTCTGCGCAGATGCTGCCAGACCTGCTGAGATTTTCCAGCAATTTCTGTTTTTGTTTCAGATTTCAAGCATCTGCAGTTCTTTAGGTTTTTTTTCAAAAATCTATCTTTTTGAACACTTCTTGCGATCTAGCCTTCACAGATCTCTGGGATGGAGAATTCCAGACAATCACTACCCTCTGGGAAAAGAAATTACTTGGAATCTCAGTTTTAAATGAGTGTCCCACCATTTTGTAATTTGGTCCTCTAATTAGAGATTCACCCATTAGTGGAATCCTCTCAACATCTACCCAGCAAAACCCCTTCAATAATCTTGTATTTTTCAATAAGAGTACCCTTCATTTTTCTAAATACGAATGAATAAAGGTCAGACCTGTTTAGCTGTTCTCAATAAGTCAACTGCTGTCTCTCAGGAGTCAGCTTGAATCTCTTGAACTGCCTCCAAAGCCAGTACATTCTTTCTTAAATATAGAGACTAAAACTGTACACAGCACTCCAGATACAGTCTCACCAATATCCTGTACAGTTGTAACAAAACTTCCCTATTTTAAAATTCCAATACAATAGGATTAAAGGCCAAAATTCCATTTACCTTTCTGATATCAAATAGTTGAGGCCCTGGGACATTCCACTACATTTGTCTTTCCAACTGAAAAAGACCAATTGATTCTGACTCTGATTTTCATCTGTTAACTAATCCTCAATCTATGCTAATGTATTATCGACCATCAAGTGAGCTCCTATCTTGTGCAATAACTTCTTACATGGCAGCTGCTCAAATGTGTTCTGTGTCCAAATACACATTTACCAGTTCCCTTTATCAACACTGCTTGTTATATCCTCAAAGAACTGTAACAAATTTATCAAACATGTCGTCTCTTTCACAAACATTGCTGACTCTGATTGCTTAAGCTTTTCTAAATATCCTGCAGGTTCTTCCTTAATGGATAGCATTTTCCCAACCATAGATTTTAGGATAACAGGCCTATAGTTTTCTGCTTTTTGCCTCCCTCCTTCCTTGAATTAGGACAGCACATTAGCTGTTTTCTAGTCTGCTGTAACCCTTCTGGAATCCAGTGAGTTCTGGAATATTTTGACCAACGCCTCCACTACCTTTGCGGCCACTTCCTTTCAAACCAGGCCATCAGATCTTGGTGACTTGTTTGCCTTTACTCCCATTTGTTTGTGAATTACTTTGTCCTTCATGATAGAAACTGTTACAAGATGTTTCCTCCTGTTAGCAGCTTGCTTATCTGTTATCTATGGAACGTATATAGAGATCTCTACAAACTAATGCAAAACATTGGTTTAAGTTATTTGCCAACAATTTCCTCGTCACATCCTCCAAGGGTCCCATATTCACTTTATTTACTCTTTTTCTCATAGAAGCTCTTGTTGTTTGCTTTTATATTTCTTGCCAACTTACTTTTAAAATAAATTTTCTCCCTTTTTTATTAGCTTTTTAACCAACTGCTGGTTCCTTGAAAATATTCCTAATTCTATGGCTTATCATGAGTTTTCACCACCCTATGCCTTAATTTTAATGTTCACTTAAGGGTTTCATTTCTCTGCTATTGCATATTTACCAGGTGGCGGGAGAAGCCATGTCAAGCGGCCAGCCTAGCAGGTTTGCTTGTGTGGTTGGTAGCAGCCAGGGGCAGAGCTACCTCCTTTGCAGGCCACCTGGGTCCATAAGTGGGTCACTCCAAAGTATTACTCATACTCTCTTCCACCAAAGACCATTGGCCTTAGACATTGTTGCCAGGGTCCACAAGAACCCCAAAGACTTGCAACATCCTGATTCAGTGCTGTACATTGTCTCAATCCTGGATTTAGTGTCAGCAGTACCCGGTTGTACTGTTAACATTTGATTACCCGACAGCTCTCTGAGGCGGGACTTCCTGTCGCCAGGGTGCAGAAGTCCTAATTCCAGTCCATTAACAGCCAGTTAATGATTGAAAGACAGTGGTACTGTTGTTATTCTCTAGGCAGGCTACTTTTTTGGCAGTGGGGGTGAGGATTGTATTGCCGCATAAAGTTCGGACATATATCTCGATGGGTCTTTCATGGAGAATTTCATTAAAAGCCATGTATTGTCCAAAATAGCAATATAATAGATTTTCTATTGTGTTGTCAGCAGCACTAACTGCTAGAAAAGAAGTAGTAATAGATGATTCAGAGAATTTCATACCCACAATGTAACAGCCATGTTTCTTAAGGCATGATTTGGTGCTGTTAAAGAAAACCTTGTTAAATCTTTCAATGTTTTAACACAAATTGAAATGTTACCATGAAAGACAGTCATGATCCTTATGTAAAAATAACTCAACACTATTTGTTCAAAGTATTTTTTTTTAAGTTAGCAGAATTTTGTAATAGTATTGGGTTGCTGCTCATGATATGTTGCCTGAACAGCTTAGCAAGGCACCATCAATGATTTGATCTAGGTTTTAGGTAAGAGATGCAGGAGAGGTGAGAAAAATGTGTTTTATGCAATGACTGGTAATGGCATGAAATGTGCTGCCTACGAGAGTGGTAAAAGCAGAGACAATGAATGACATCAAAAGTAAACCAGATGAACACTTGAGTGAAACAGACTCACAGGCCTCGAGGGTAGACTGAGGAACAAATAAGCATATGACATCCCCTTACTTGAGGAAAGGTATTATTTCACTGGGGGCATTTCAGATTAGGTTCTCTAGGATGACCCCCTGTATGAAGGGATTATTTTTCAAGCAAAGTTTAACAGGTTGGGACTACTCACAGGAATTTAGAAGAATGAGAGATGTTCCCGTTGAGCCATATAGGATTCTTAAGGGGCTTCACAGGGTAAGTTCTGAGAGAATGTTTCCTATCATGGAAGAGCCTAGGACCACAGGGCATAGTCTCAGATTAAAGGAGTGCCAATTCAAGACTAAGAGAATTTTCTTCTCTCAGAGGATTGAGTCTTTAGAATTCCTTGCCATGCGGAGACAATAAGACATGGGAGCAGAATTAGGCCACTTGGCCCATCGGGTCCGCTCAGCCATTCTATCGTGGCTGATGTGTTTCTCGGTGCCATTCTGCCTGTAATCCTTGATCCCTTTACCAATCAAGAACCTAGAGCCGTGGGAGCAGTGTCCTTGTGTATATTTGAAGCTCAGGCAGAGAATAGATTCCTGTTCAGTAAGGAAATTAAGGATTATGGGAAAAAGGCAGGAAAGTGGACGTGAGGAGTGTCGGATCAGCCATGATACGAATGAATGACAGAGCAAGCTTGAGGGGCCCAACAACCTACTTCTGCTCATAGTTTTTATTGTCTTATGGTTAGCCACTCTCCAATTCTGTGACAAATGCCTCATCCCCACGGTTTTTAAGGAAGATTGGAAGATGATGGCAAGCCCTTTCATGATTTCTACTTCCTTTAGCAGGTTAAGGTGCAAGCCATCACTCTAGGTGTCTTATCTATTCTCAGCATAGCCAGCCTTCCCAGTGTGTTCTGTCCATCAGTTTTCCATGCCAGCCGTTTTCTATTTACCAACATGTTTAATCTTCCTGTTCATGTACACATACGGATTCAAAGTTCTCACATAGAGCCTTAGTCTTGACCTTCACCTCAAAGCATATATTGGTTTCTCTGTCCATGTTAGCACCCACCCCATCGCATATTACTTGCTTGCTATTTATGTTTTGGTGGAGGATTTTTAGGTTTTACTTTGAGGACTGCCCTTCTATTGTCATACTTTTCCTTTGCCAGTCATCTTAATTTCAATCAGCTCATTGTGTTTGGTTTGATTTCCATTTAAAACATCCCTCTAACATGATTCCGACACCTTTTTTTTTGGTTCATCATATTCTCTTTCTCTGTTGCTATTTCAAAGAGCTCTGGCTTTGCTTCCTTTAACTTTTGCTTCTTGTAATGTATCCAAATTATATCTATACTACTTCCTCAAAGATCATTCATTGCTCTATTGTGGTTTCGCCTGTAAATAATACATGTATGGTGTAGCTTATTGCTGTACCCTATACTGTGTATAAGTTGTCAGTTTGTTTATCTGATATCCAGTTCTGCAAAAATACAAAATTTCCTCCAACAAAATTACAGGAAAGCCAAAGCCAATGTCTTTGGCTCCTGTTGAAAACTCCCTTCCCTAGATACTGGCTCCACCTTCAGCCTGGCAATGTCTATCTGCACCAAATAATTTGCAGCCTTGGTGTGTTAGTACAATCCCAAGATGCCCTTCCAATAAATGACTTTGCTATTGCTGTTACCTATGTAGTATCAGTTGACTTGTTTGACTTGAGTTGCTTATGTAAGAGAACGAAGAGCTGTAGCAGCGTTTCTGCAGCAAGGAAGAATTAGCAGGTATTTTTGACATAATTGGTTTTTCTTTAGGGGCTGCATGCCATTTCTGGGGTCAAAAGGAACAGCATACTTAACATTAAGTATGATATGAAAAATTCAATGGGTTGGAAGTGTAACAATGTAAGATGATTCTTTACGTTGTTCGTGATAAATAAGGGTCAATGGCTTCATGTAGTTAGAAGACATGGTTAAGTGGACTTGAGCACAAACATATTTCAGACCCTATCTTAATCATGGATTCCAACCTAAGCCTACATGTATAGTGAAAGCTGACAACATAAATTTATAATTGCACCCACCTGCACTGATGTTAACATCATCACTCGTTCCCCAGAAACAATGCAGAAGTGTGCCCTTGTGTCCATTAGGAATAGTTTGAATTAATTAGAAGTCCAGACCTGTATGTAACCCCAGTATGAACTCTGCTTCCAGTGAATCATGGGCTTCAGTGCTTTCTGCTTAGTGTAATTATCCATTAGTATTCTATGAAATTGATGTCAAGCAATTCAGAGCACCTAAGCTCAGAAATTGCCTCCTTAAACCAGACTTTTAATTTTCTAGTGCACTTAACCTTTTTTTTTTGATTTGTGTAGTTATATCCGGGTGGCTGTACTCCCGTGCTCTGAAAATACGAGTTGTCTGTTCCGCACCAAAGCCTCAGTTGCTGCTGAAAGCCTGATGTACAATGAAGTGTTTTGGATCACCATTTCTTTTTCTGCTTTGCATCAGAAGACTCTGCGAGTTGATGTTTGCTCAGTGGATAAATCTCATCGAGAAAAGTGTTTGGTTGGTGTTTGACTTGAATATTATAACCCATTGCATCTTCAATACTTAACTGCAAGCTCAAAAAGTGCAGTTTAACCAATTTTGGGTTCTTGTTGCAGATCAGCACCAATTTTTTGCAATTCTGAAGTATAGTTCAGGGACTAACAACTTTTACCCAATTTTATATGGGATATCGATTAGCCATTTTCTTTCATAATTCTAAGTTCAGTGCTGCTTTATTTTATAAATGTTCACTGAACTATAAGCCTTGCGTCTCTCATGAGAGGAATTTGCTATTGCCATTACAAGAATTAAAACAGTGAATAAAGAGGAATTGGTGGAATGAATGGGTTCACCCATTATTACCACTGTTTTGTAGGGAGGATTAAAAGTAATGTGCTTCTTTCTTATCTACTTCCTGAGAAAATTCTGGTTTCAGTCAGTAGTTTGGAATAATCCTTGTGCATTAATAATTACTATTTAGATTTATCTGGAGGACATCATATAAATCTTTGACAAATTAATTGTAACAGCTATTACTACAGTTCCTGTACAATGCCCATTTGTGTAGATTTGTAACATTTTGGTATGCTTAGGCAGTGTAAAGGGAACACAGGAAGAATATGAAAGCTAGATTAATTATCTTAATTCTTCTGCATCTTTTACAAACTGCAAATTCCATCCAGCTTCAAGGACAGATGACGTGCCAGCTTGGAGCGTAATCTTAAACTCCAACCTTTTAAAGATTTTTCAGTGCATTTTCTCTTCTTCATTTAATCACAATTTGTTCAAAAGCTAGTAAGCAAAGTAACACTTGTCACCTTGTAGCAGTCCAGCATGTTATGATTCTCAGATTTCATGATAGTGATCAGAGATATTCTCTTGTAGGAGAAAATGTTTCTCATAATTACAATAATGATAAATTTTCAAACAATTTCAACAGTTCTGAAACAGCAGTCAAGAACAGCATTGGGAAGTAACAGTCAGTACGATTGGGAACACAATTATGTGACCAAATGGCAAGCACCAATTTTCACCCAAGAGGCAGTAATTCACTGAAAATAGTCGACAGGCTGTTCTTCTAAAGCTGTAGCTATGTTGCTTGTCAATTAAATTAGAAGCAACTAAGAACTAACTTATGAATCCCTCAATTATCTAGTACTCTAATCTGAAACATAGCAATTTTTTAGAATGAAGCATTCAAACAGGTAACTTCAGAAATTCCAATGAAGCAATAGATATTAAATATTGAATGGTTTAGGATCCTCTCCATAACATCATGACATTGTACAAGTGAAAACAGTAACATTTACTCTGACAATCGAGTCTGATGTCCAGTAATATTTAAATATATCATGTGTTGTGCTTATGATGCAAGAATGACAATTTATTTAAATTTTTAACAGGGTGGTGCTCAGATCAGCTTGGCAAATGTGAACAGATGTGGAGAGTGGTCAACACAATGGTACAACCTCCTTAATCTTCACTACCTACAGGAACAATGCATGAAGCATACTGCACAAAATGAAGATGCTCTTCAATCAGAAAATAAACTCACCACAACAGAAAAAAAAGTAGGCCATTAGTTTAAGTCTCTGAAGAACAACCATGGCTACAATGCTAATATGGTGAAATTTCAAATAAGCATCAAATTTTAAAACTCATTTCAATTTTCCAATGTTTCAGACATTTTCCAGAAGGAGGTTTTACTAGTCTCTGGCAGATAATCAGTATGAGAGAGGCAAAACAGTAAGGTAAAGATACAAAATGAGGAGAGACATTTTGATTGGATCTGAGCCAACTTTTAAACAAGTTCATTGAACAAGCAACTCAGGTTGGTTATCGCTTATTTGCGTGTTCGAAAACCGAGCACCCAAAGGTCATTTCAAAAGTGGAACCGAACAGTGGGCACACTGAGTTTGAGCCCTTTGGAAAAAGCTTCGCTTGGCCTGAACGATCATTCAAGTGAAGTCTTTCCAAAGGACCTTAATGAACCAGAGCAACTGGCATATTAATTATGTGACTGAATTATTAAATGCTGAATGAATTCCTGTGTCACTATTATAAATGACTAAATTAGAAATGAGAAATAGTGTGTATGTCCCCTCGAGCCTGCTCCACCATTCAATATGGTCATGGCAGATCCAACATTTCTCCCATCCACTTTCCTGCATTTTGCCCGTGACTGTTCATTCCCTTACTGATAAAAAATCTATCAATCTCAGACTTAAATATACAATGCAGTTATAATGGAAGTGGCCTTTACAAGTGGTCATGCTATAGAATTGAGCTCAACACATTGATGTTTCAAAATGCAAAATGCTATCAAAGCCATGCACGTTCAGTGTATCTGAAAACCAAAAATATACTTTATCCAAAAAACAGTTGGACCCAAGATTTTCGGATAAAGGATTCCTGACCTTTGTTATAAATTGAGGCCAATATTAATTCATGTCAATCACCATTTGTAGCACTAGAAGAATGGTAGAGGCTGGGAAATCTAGTGGAAATTAGTTTCATGGGAAACCGACCCTCCCATTTAAAGCAGGCTGGAGCTTCATTGTGCTGTGGAATACAGGATAGGGAAGGATTCTTTGCCAGATTCCAACTGGGCATTCTGTGCAGAGTCTCCATCAGGAAATCTGGGAGGAAGCAATGCCTGGAATAAACCGCAAGCGGGTAGGCCTTTCACACTTGAAAGGCAAGTAAATTGGACACAAAAACAAAGTTGCTGGAAAAGCTTAACAGGTCTGGCAGCAACTGTGAAGAAAAAAATCAGAGTTAACATTTCGGGTCCGGTGACCCTTCCTCAGAACTCAGTAAATTGGACACTTTAGTGTTCTTCTTCTTATGTCTTCACTGGCATATAGATTTTCTGGTGCTTTTGTGTTCACCTGTTATTACTGACTTGAAACTGGTTTCAACAAGGATGAAGACCACTGGAAATCAACAAAAGTTCCCGTTAAGCCGCTCACCATCCTAACTTGGAACTATATTGTCATTCCTTCAAGGTCACTGGGTCAGAATCCTGAGACCCATTCTCTGATGGCATTATGGGTCTATCTACAAATGGACTACAGCGTTTCAAGAAGGCAGCTCACTCCCACCCTTTTAAGGGCAACTAGGATGGGCAATAAATGCTGGCCCAACCAGCAATGTCCACATTTCATAAATGATTTAAAAACTTTAATTCTGCAGTGAGTCCTGGGCTGTACATTCAAATGCTAGAGAAATTCCATCAAGGATCCTTGTTGTTCATTCATTGATCCTCCTGTTTAATCTCAAGCATGTGGTGAAGATGTTGTTCATGGAATTTCTCTGTCATAAAAATTGGATTGGATTTCGCCTACTTTGTGTCGAGGACATACCTGGGCAATTTTTCACATTGTTGGGTAGATGTCAGTGTTGCACAGGTCTTCAGTGGTATTGATGAATGTTGTCAGGGCCCAATGCATTTGGAGTATTCAGTGTGTCCATCCATTTCTGGATATCACATGGAGTGAATCAAATAGTCTGTAAACTAGTAGCTGTGTTGCTGGGGACCACTGGAGGAGGGCAAGATGGATCATCTGCTTGGCACTTCTGGCTGAAGATTGCTGTGAATGCTTCAGCCTTAACCTTTGCACTGATGTATTGGGCTCCTCCATCATTGAGGGTGGGATATTTGTGGAGTCTGTTATTTCAGTGAGTTGTTTAATTGACCACCATCATTCACGACCTAGATATGACAGGACTGCAGTGCCTAGATCTGATCTGCTGGTTGTAGAATTACTTAACTTTGTCTGTCCCATGCTCCTTATGCTGGTTGGCACTCAAGAAATCCTGTTATGTAGTTTTACTAGTTTACACCTCATTTTTAGGTACAACTAGTGCTGCTTCTGGCATGGCCTCTTCCACTCTTCAATGAATAAGGTTGAACCTGTGGCTTGATGGTCATGGTAGAATGGAGGTTATGCTGGGGTCATGAGGTTGTAGATTGTGTTGGAATACGATTCTTCTGCAGATTATGTCCCACTTTGCCTCCTGGATTCCCAGACGAAAAGATTCTGATATTATTTTCAATATGTAATTGTGTTTTTTTTTGTAGGATTCTGTGTCTGCGCTCCTAGAACAAACGGTTGCAGAGCTGGAGGCAGTGGAGTGGCAACTAGGAAAGAACAGAAATTTGTTGACCCTAGAAGAGGAAAGGTATAGTACCTGTATTATAACATTCTGCAAGCAGTGTACATGTTTATTGGCTTGTTTATCTTAAATATCATATTTTTACCTTTTTTTCATGGCAGTTTCTCCTGTGTTCCTTTCCCTAGTTCTGAAGGCCCATGGTTACATAGGCACCAACCACGTGCCTGTGCATTATGCAAATAATTATTGTTCAATAAGTCTCAGTAAACATGGAGACGTCTTAGTATTTGCACACTCAATTATATTAGGATCTGTTTGAAAGAGATCAAGACTGGGATCCTGATTCTGTTTTGTTTCTCTCCCTTTCTATTGACACTGCTCCCCACTCCCACCCTGGGGACACTAAATAGTCAACTACCTATTGTTTGAATTCAACGAACTAACTTGATTTTGGGAGAATCATGATCACAGTTGCCTAATTTACGCAGTCGACAATTTGTTGGAGCAATTTTTCTGCTAGTTTATTGAGAAGCAGCAGTGTAGGAATGGTACATTTAGTTAATTAGGTTAATAAAATAAATACGCAACCCATGATAGAAAAGAATACTTTACTGATACAAGGAGTCCTGTAAAATGGAGGAGTAGAGGCAGCGCACTCCCACATCCCAGATGTTTCGCAATCTTTTGTGGTAACCTTTGGTAACAACAGTCTCTGGTCTTCCCTTGGGCCGATGTAAGGAAACTGTTGGTCTTTATCCAAGAAGGTGGTAGCTTGTCCACCTGGCTCCTTTTGTAATTGTCACTCTCACCTATCCCTGGTGGTATCTTGTTTTGGGGATTGGCCATCTGTGCTGTGTCAATCACCTGGCTAAACCTGCTTGGCCAATATTCTTGATGCTAAGCTGTTTGTTGTCCTCTTGCTCACCTTCATTGAAGGTTTGTTTTAATTCCTTCTAAGGATAAATACTTATTTTTGAAAACATGCTGTTATAATTGGATAATGTGGCACTTAATAAAACTTCTGTTTATGCTTTTAGAAGGCAAGTTACTAATGTAACATCATTAATGAGGTCTCAAGCCACAAGGGAACTGTTAAAAGCATACAGTTTTAAATGGGGTCACAATTTCCAATACTGGATGCAGACCAAGGAGCAAAGTTGAATTCTTTCTGGTTAGAAAAGATTGGACGGTGGTTAGCAGATTAGAACTGCGGTACAGAGAAATACTGAATGTTGTCCTGAAAATGTGTTGACGGTCCATTCTGGGTGGTTACTCACGAAAGTTTATTAGATGAAAACTAGCCTATCAGATGGGTAACTCCACAACCAATACCCCTTCTGCTCCATACTCACCTTTCCAGAACAACTGTCCCTCACTAGACCAACTGACCACCTGATTGCCCTCTTGAACAGACCTGACTACCATTCCCCTTCTGACCACCTGACTATCCAATGACCTGATCACCTCTGTCCACCAAATGGACCTGATTACCCAATCTAACAGTCCGTCCCAACCAGCCCACCTGATGTGACAAACTGCTAACCTGATCCTGTACTACCTCCCCCACAACCCCACAAATGACTACACACTCTTCAAGTTAGCCACCTCATCCCACCTCTCTGTTTATCCACACTAGCTACTGTAACCGAACTAGCGACCCCACCTATTGCTTATAATTTATTTATATTTATCCTCACATCCATTTTGAATTTTATTTGAGGTAACCTCTGTCACTGACAAGCACAGCCAGAGCATATCCAAAAAGGGATATGGATGCATATCTCAATCAGGAAACTGGGTTATTTTTCCATGTGATTGGAAGGAAGAACCAAAGATAGGAGAGTTTATTCTAAATAGAACAAAAGTATGCAAATTTTTTAATCGAGGTTCCTTGCTTACAGACCAAGCGCACCAGCGAGGGAAGATGACTACAATGAGAAAGAAATTAGCAAGGAGGGAGAGCAAGAACAAGAAGACAATGAAGAAATACCATGGGAAAATGAAGGCAATGTTGAGAATACCAATGAGCAGACTGATAATCAGTCAGTACTAGCAGCAGTTGTTGCAGTGAAGGTGAATATTCGTAGGAATTAATTGATCAATTTCTGTGATTGTAAAAGCATATCAAATATTGGTCATACCTATTAAAATTTGTGAATTATTATAGCACACAAAATTTAGCTTGATAGAATTAGTGAATTTTTGGGGACCAATGGATGAGTTTGGGCTGGGAAAAATAATGCGAAAATGTAAGAAAAACTCAAGTAGAAACTTGTGAAATGCAAGTTCTTTACTACTGTAATGCTACTTTCACAGTTTGAATGCCCTTACTTCGTGTGCATATTTACTACAATGTGTCAGCGCGCAAGCTAAAAAATACAAACCACTTGTGTTCTTGTATCTAATTATAATGGTATTAATTAATTATAATATCATTAAGTTGGTGTAGGTTATAGTGTTGAGTATGTGAAACGTCTTTAGTATTTCTGCTTGAATTACAAAGTGCAGTAAGTGTAATTTAGCTTTTAAACCTGGATGTTGAATCAGGAGAGAGTTTTTCTTATCCTGTTGGGCACAAGAGTCATTTTTTTTGGTTATTAAAGAGTTATCATGAAGCATATGAGCAAGCCCATCTGATGAATTAAGAGGCATGAGGCAACTGAGTATATTTTCTCAAGTTGCAAGTTAATGTCTTAATAAAAATGTATCCAAAGCAATGTATTGGCACTATGTTGAAATACACTGCTTTAAATGTGACTTATTTTCCCTATAATGTGTAGGCATGAAAATAATAAGGAAGGTTGCCAACGGATATTGCACATTATCACTTTGTAGAAATTGATTGGATTATGAAATTATCTCCACAGGTTGATAAAGAAACTAACACAGAGGAGACTGAGACAACTACATTTGCTGTGCGTCCAAAGGAAAGAAGAACTCATACTACTCAACAGAGCCCTTTTGTGAGAGGCAGTGCTATTATTCGTTCAAAAACCTTCTCTCCAGGTGCACAGAATCCTTATGTATGCAGGGTAAGAAAGCACTCTACTGGATTTTGATCTTAATTTTGTTAGCATTTCTCTTCAATCTACAGCTTACAGGTTCTTTGCCCATTGAATGGATTCCTTTCCCTGTCTTTATTTTTGTTTTCATCTTCCATCTTCTCACCCACTACATTTATCCTGATAGACCCTCTTCCCACAGCTATTCATGGTGAACTTGGTCAGCACATTCAGCTCCTTCCATTCTGAAAAGCACCAGTAATGTGAGCTTCTGCTTTGAAGAAAACATAGGATGCATCATTGACAGTCATTTCTGCACCCTGCATGCAGGGTACTTTTCATTTACGGCAGTCTTTACTAGATCCTTCTCATCTTATGCTCCCTTCTCACATGTTGCTAACTGCATTATTCATAACTGTGCTCGTGCTTGCAAATGTAGATAAGGGGATTAAGATTGCTTGTTGTATTGTTTTGTTCTGAATCCTACTTTTGCATGTCAACAATAGACAAAAGAACAATATTAGAATTTGGCTACAAGAAAACTTTCAAACAGAACTACACTGTATTTGAGATAACAAGGTGTAGAGCTGGATGAACACAGCAGGCCAAGCAGCATCAGAGGAGCCGGAAAGCTGACGTTTCGCGCCTAGACCCTTCTTCAGCTGTTCATCTAGCTCTACACCTTGTTATCTCAGATTCTCCAGCATCTGCAGTTCGTAATATCTCCTACACTGTATTTGATACTTGTGTCCTTCTGTGAATTCCTTCTTTGTCTTTTTAAAGCAAAGATGAGTATGTTCATTTTCTGCGGTGTTCAGTAGTTTGCCATTGGGTATATAGGTAGCTACTAAGGTCGATTTTCACCAAGAATATTCTGTTGCAAACAGGATAGGACAAAGCAAATGACTGAATCTTCATCAAGTTTCCTTGGAATTTCTTTTCTTGGTGTTTTCTCTTTGCCTTTAATAATGTGCTTGCTTTCGAAGGGCATTTTTTTATTTGGTTGTGTCACGTGGCAATGCTACGTGAGTTTCTTTGAGTACTCAAAGTTGATGTGAAGGCTTCAAAATGTGTGTACCAGTGTATCAATGATATAAATAACAGAATTATGACTATGCAGAAGAAGGCTATTTGGCCTAATGTGTCTACACCAGCTGTTTAAATCAGTATTATGACTTAGTGCTGCTCTCTTGCCTTTTCCCGTTAACTTTGAACATTCTTTCTTTCAAATAATTGCCTGATGCTTTCTTGATGTCTTAATTGAACTTGCACCCTGCCTGATTTTTACCCATTCCTTTGTCAGCCCAACTGCTTTTTTCCTCTCTGGGCTCCATTTTCACCTATCAATTACACTCCCCTGAAATGGTAACTCTCTGGTTTCTCTCAGCCAGACCTGCTGCGTTTTTCCAGCAATTTCTGATTTTGTTGCATCCACCACATTTCCAAGGGAGTGCATTTTTGACCCAGAACACTTCTTGTGTAAGAAAAGTTTTTCAAAACATTTGCACTTTTGCTGATCTATACTGTCTTATTCTGAATCCTTTTTCAAGAGAAAACAGTTCCTCCCTACTTACTCTATCCAGACCTGGTCAGATGTAACGCAACATCAGATTATAATCCAACAGGTTTATTTGAAATCATAAACTTTCGGAGTGCTGCTCCTTCATCAGGTGAAGTGCGTTTGTGATTTCAAATAAACTTGTTGGACTGTATCCTGTGTGTCATATGACTTCTGTCCTTGTCTGCCCAGTCCAACACCAGCGCCTCCACATCATGTCTGTCAAGACCTGTTGTGATTTTGAAATGTTCTTTTCAATCTCCTCTTTGCCTTCTCTTCAAGGAGAATGGCCTGAGTCTTTTTAATCTTATAACTGAAGTTTCTCATTCCTAGAAACATTTTTATAAAACTTCTGTGCAGTCTTTCCCAATATGTTCTCTTGCTTTCTCTAAGTGCCTAGAACTCTACACTGTACTCCAGCTGAGGTCTAAAGATATCTTGTGTAAGCTCCACATAACCTCTCTGTTACAAAATGCAGGATACCATATGCTTTATGAACTGCATTCTCATTCTGTCGTGCACTTTCATTAGTCAATACACGTATACATCGAGGTCGGTCTGCTCCTGCACCCCCTTAAGAATTGTGCCAATTATTTTATAGTTTCTGTTCATGTTCTTTCTGCCAAAATACATCATGTCACAATTATCTACATTGAACGTTATCTGCCCACTCCCATCAACATGCCATTTGGAGTTCTGCATTGCTCTCCTCACAGTTGGCAATGCTTCCAAGTTTCATATCATCCGCTAAATTTGAAATTGTCTCCTGCACACCAAGATCTAGATTATTAATATGTGTTGAAAAAGTAGGCTCCCAGTGTAGCCCCGTGGGGAATCCACTACAAATTTCTTCCAGCCCAAAAAATGTCCTTTGACCATTATTCTTTTTTTATTATTTAGCAACGTGGACACAAAAGCTACTGTTCCTTTTATTTTGTGAGTAGCAGCTTCTCCACACTCTGTTCTTTGGCACTGTACTGAATGCCTCTTGATAGCTAATATATGCTACATCAACAGCATTACCCTTGTCAACCCTTTCTGTTACGTCTTCAAACAACTCTAGCAAGTTTATTACAAATTCTTTCCCCTTTCAAAAATTCCCTTTACTACTTTGTAATCAACATTCCTTTTTCCATGGTGGAATCTTAGAGGCCTGAGCTATGTGGCTATTTAGTGAGAAATGTGGCAGAATCGCACAAGAAGTCTGGTGAGGCCTAACCCTACATTAGGAGCAACTTGCTACAACCTTTAACTAAGTTCCGGATATTGAGGCATGATTCTTACCAGGTGGTGCAAGTTGCCTATTAGGGCAGATAATTGCTTGTTACAACCTTACTAACTACACGTCTTGCCTTATTAGTATGCAGCTTCCCATCTCACCATCTGCCACAAGTAAATTGGATGCTGAGAGTTCTTGACACAAAAGTCAAAGTGGACACCTAACGACTTCAGCATGCCACTGGCTGCAAAGAGCTTCCATGTTGCTCACTACGCAACTGCTTTTCAGGGCACAATCCATGGACACCAGCCACACAAACCCCTCTACTCCTATACCCTCTTTAGAATTGTATTCTTTATTTTCTGTTGCCTTTCTTCATTCCTCTCGCCAAAATTATCGCTTTGCATTTCTCTGCATTACATTTAATCTGCTACGTCTCCAGACCACTGTGTTCACTTAAAGTTTATCATTGTCCTCATCATAGTTCATAATACTTCCAAGTTTTCTGTTGTCTTTACATTTTGAAATTTTGCTCTGCATATTGAAATCTAGGGTATTAATACTTATCAAGAAAAGCAGCAGTCGTACTGTTGACCAGTGGGGAACTCCAACTGTATACAGTCATATTGTCCAAAAGACAATATTTTGTCACTACACTCTGTTCTTGGTACTTAACCAAACTTATATCCATGCTGCTGATTTTTATTCCATGGGCTTCAACTTTGCTGACTAGCATTTTTTGTGGCATTTTATCAAATGCCTTTTTTTCACTACACCACTTGCTCCGTCACCACAATGAAAACCTTAAAGTAGTTAAACATTATTTGCCATTAAGAAATCTGTGCTGTCTACATTAATGAATCCATATTTATCTAGGTGACTGTTAATTGCGTCCTGGATTACCATTTGTAGAAGTTCTCCCACCACTGTGGAGCTGGCCACTGATTACTGGGTTTATCATTGCACCCGTTTTCAAATAGGAGCGCAATATTTGTAATTTTTCAGCTTTCTGGCACCACTGGAAATGTATTGGAAGGAGGATTGGAAGACCAAGGACAAACTTTGGCTGGACACATGAGTTGTCTGGACTCAACACTGAGTTTATAAAGCTTAAATCATAATCTTTGCATCCATTTTCTTTTATTTTCCTTTGCTAGTTTTTTGTTCTCTTGCCTCCTTTTGGTCAGTAGCTATTCAGGATCTTCCATTCACAGTCTTCCAGACGCATCTTTCCCTTTTTTACTTGTTCCATTACCACTCCTTTCAGCCATGCGACATGAAACATTTCATTATTTAATTTCTCCTGCTCTACACCCTATCACAGATCTTTCAAATTTGTTTTTCTACGCAGCCTTTTACATCTTGCAGATAAAAGAATGCTATGACATTTTTAACTTGTTTCATTGAAATGTTGAAACTTTTTCTTTCCGTTAGCGCTGCAAGACCTGCTAAGTATTTCCAACATTTTCAGCTTTTTTTTTCCATTCCAGTTAGTTTCGGTTTATGGAAATAAACATTTAACTATTAAAATTTTAATTTGTCAGAATTGCTGTTTTGGTGTTTGTACATTCGTAGAATAACAAGTGCACAGGTTCCTGACTGGCTCTGAATTCTGACCGTTTGTACAGACAACATGCCTGTTGAGAGGCAAATCTTGGTGGCATCAATCCTAAGTTTGTTCATTTTCAGTACTTTTGAGCATCTTTGTGTATTAGGTTTTCTAATTTATTTTTTGTGGTGTTTGCAAGCGCTGAGCAAGTGTTAGGCCTAGCCATCCTCCCAATGTGCACTAATTGTATGGTCTGGAGCCATAAAATTATGATTGCTGTGAAATTTGGAGGCAGTTGGCTCATGCAACTGCGCATGTAACAAACCTTTTGGTTCCTTGTTTCTGTGCTTACTCCAATAATCTTTGAAAGGGTATGCTAATAAATGTATTTGTGATTTGGGTTGACCTTTGCTGTTTTGAAACGCGTCAACAGTTTAAAACAATCTAAATTTTAAGAACCGCAATCTAAATTTGCGGAAAAGTAGAGAGACAGTAAGGTAGAGTTTAGAAAGGAGCTTCCATAGAGTGAGCCATCTTTGGTCCTACTACAGAAAGGTCATCTGTATATTTTCTATATTTTAAATGCTGAACATGAAAGAAATATACTAAAATGTTTGGTCCAGTGGAATTCTATGTGTAGATCAAGAATGATTTTGACTTTCCTTCGTCTGTGAAGATTTCTTTGCTGAATGTTGTTAATCAAATAACAATTAATTTCTTTTGCAGTTAAATCGAAGTGATAGTGACAGCTCAACATTATCCAAAAGGCAGCCCTTTGTTCGGAATGCCATGGAACGACGCAGTTTGCGAATGAAAATGGTGAGGGAGGAAAAAAGAATATAGAAGGAAGAAAGCCATTGCCAATTTTAGATGTCTTCAATGCGCTTTTTAAAAACTCTAAACAGTTTAGTTTTAAAATAAATTCACTGTAGTTAAGGAATTGCAATTTTCATTTCAGCATCATGTATTTATATATAAAAAAACTGAAATACTAGGCATATTCAGGTTAAGCAGCCTGTGCTGAGTAAGAGAAAGAGTTAATAGGTACAATTTTATGGACCAATTGCAGGTAGAAAAGCAGAGAGGTAGACCTGTAAATTAGGCCTCAGTGTCATTGGTACTATCCATGGCTTGCACTCCGCAACAAATTTATGGATGGTGGAGAGACAATAAGTGGGCAATTACTTCTCACCTAAGGGCTTCATACTGTTGCCATTCCAATTTAATGGGTGGCAAGAGAGATCTTTGTCCAATGTGCAGCTCAACAATCCTATGCCCAGTTGGGCACTGAATGAGGAAGGGTTCTCCTTCTTGGGCTCCTTGTAACAGTCACCTGTGCTCACCAAACAGAAACAGTTTCGTCTTCCCACAACTACCATCACTTCCTGCTCTGTCCAACATGATCCACAGCACCCTCACATTGGCCTGCCATCCTGGTGTCAGTGGGATCCTTGTATTTATCTTGAATTTGTTCATTCATTTGTTCTCCTTCCTAGGACTCCTGTAATATTGTTCAAGCCCACTGCTACTGGTAGCACCTAGCTGCTGACCTATGATTGACTGGCAACTCTGAGCTGGAACTGTAGCTGCAGATCGATATAATCCTTCTTTATACTAATTAAAGAGCTTTCTGAACAATTGTAATGGATAAAGTTGGCCAAATGGAGACATGCACACCACCAATGTTTTATGCTGGAGTGTAGGGAGTCTGACCTCCCACATATAGTCCATTCCAGTGTTTGAAGTCAAGAACCTTTTATCTGAACCTGGTACATTTTACACATATAGGACACACTGTTGCCACTGTATGGCAGAGGTGAACCTAGTGAATTATTTAAGTGATGGTTTGGGTGCTGTTCAAGCTGTTGCTGCTGTGTCCTGGATTTTGTCTGGCTTCTTGAGTCTTGTTGGAAGCACCCAGGCATGTAAGAATATATTCCACCACGTACTTGACTTACGTCTTGTAATTGGGACTTTAGAAAATCAAGAAGTGAGTTGTGAGTGAGTTGAGTTCCCAGCCTCTGACCTGATTAGTATTTATACGGTTGGCCCAGTTAAGTTCCTGGCTGCTAGTAATCAATGGTATTGATAGTAGGGGATTTAGCTATGGTGATGCCATTGAAGGTCACTGGGAGATAATTAAATTCTGTATTTTTGGAGATGATCATTCCCTTGGCATTCATGTTATTGTGACTTACCTGTCAAATGTTGTCCATGGTTTTCTGCATGTGGGCAATTACTTCTTCAGTAGCTGAAGAGTCACGAATGGTACTGCACTCTGTGCAGTCATCAATTGAACATTCACATTTCTGATCATATGATGGAGGGAAGGTTATTGATGAAGCTTCTGAAGATGGTTTAGACCAGGAGATTATCAGGAAAAAATATAACAGTGATGTCCTAGGGCTGAGATGCAGCAGCCACAACCATCTTCTTAGGAATGACTCCAACCATTGGTGAGTTTTCTGCCGATTCCCATTGACTTCACTTTTGTTAGAGCATCTTCTGACTGGAGATCTGTGACCATTTGTGTTCCTCAGGGATCAATTCAAGCACCCCTGTTATTTGTAATATATGAATGATTTGGAGAAGAATGTAGGTGGCCTGATTAGTAAGTTCATGAACAACACAAAGATTAGGGAGCTGCGGATAGTGAGGAGGATTGCCAGAGGATACAGCAGGAAACAGATATGCTGGAGGCTTGAGTGGAGAAATGGCAGATCGTGTTTAATCTGGACAAATGCGAGGTGAAGCATTTTGAAGATCTAATGTAGGAGGGAAGTAAATGGCAGAACCTTTAGTAGCATCAAAATACAGAGAGATCTAGGCATACAGGTCCACAGTTCCTTCAATATAGCGACACAAGTGGATAAGATGGTCAAGGAGGCATGTAGCATGCTTACCTTCATCGGTCAGTGCATAGAGTATAAAAATTGGCAAGTCGTATTTCAGCTGTATAGAACTTTTAGTTAGGTCCCACTTGGAATATTGTACAGTTCTGTTCGCTATGCTACAAGAAGAGTTTAGAGGCTTTGGAGAGGGGACAGAAATGGTTTACCAGGATGTTGTCTGGTTTGCAGGGTATTAGCTATGAGGAAAGATTGGACAAACATGGTTTGTTTTCACTTGAATGTCGAAGAATGAGAGGCGACTTAATAGAAGTTTACAAAATTTTGAGAGGCATTATGGATAGTCAGAGTCTTTTTCTCAGGTGAGAAATGACAGTTACTTGGGGACATTGGTTTAAGGTAAAAGGGGTAGATTTAAATGAGATGTAAGAGGCAAGTTTTTTTTTTACACTGAGGATGGTAAGGGTCTGGAATGCACAGCCATAGAAGGTGGTGGAGGCAGAACAATGGAAACATTTAAGACACATCTTGACAGACGTATGAATAGGCAGGGCATAGAGGGATATGGACTGCATAGAGGCAAAAACATTTTACTTTAGACAGGCATCATGCGTCCATATAGACTTGGTGTGCTGAAGGGCCTGTTCCTGTGCTGTACAGTTCTTTGTTGTTCCTGGTCAATTTTTGCTTGATGTCAAAGGCAATCATTCAATTTACATTCCACTTGTTAAGTTCAGCTCCTTTGTCTATGTTTGTACCAATACTTGCATGAGGTCTAGAGCTGAGTGGTCCTGGTAGAACCCGAAGTGAGCATTAGTGAACACATCATTACTGTGAAGGTGTTACACTGTAGGGATTCCATGATTCTAATTCTATAGATTCTAGAAAGGTTTCTACTGACTGGAAAGTAACAAATGTAACTCCACTCTTCAAGAAGGCAGAAAGGAGAGTAGAGAACCTGTAACTTTAACATCCAGAGTAGGGAAAATGTTAGAATCTATCATAAAGGATATGCTAACTGAACAAGAAGAAAAAATGGCAAAATTGGGCAATCATGGGTTTGTGAAAGGGAAATTATGTTTGATAAACTTGTTGAAGTTTTTGTTTTGAAGATGTTTCCTGTAGCATACTTGCAAGGGAACCACTGGATGTGGTTTCTTCGGATTTTAGAAAGCTTTTGATATGGTCCCAGACCAGTGGTTAGGAAATAAAATGTAAAGCACACGGCACTGAGGATAATATACTAGAACGGATTGAGAATTGGTTAATAGTCAGAAAGTAGAGAATAGGGACAAATGGAACATTCTCAGGGTGGCAGACTTTTGCTAGTTGTGTACCACAAAAGTCAGTCCTAGGTCGACAACTGTTCACTACATATTTATATGATTTGGATGTGGGGACCAATTGTATTATCTCCAACTTTGCTGATGACAGCAAACTGAGTTGAGAATGCAAGTTGTGAGGTGCATATAAGAGGACTTGGACAGGCTAAATGAATGGACCAGAAGATTGTAGATTGAAAATATTGCAAGTAAGTGTGAAATTATTCACTTTAATAGAGGAAAGGGACAAAGTTACTTAATTGGTATGAGGTTGGAAAGTGTGGATGTGCAAAGGGACCTGGGTGTCCTTGTCCACTAGGTAGTTTAAGCAAATATGCAGGTGCATCAAGCAATTAGAAAGGCAAGTGTGAATGTTAGTATTCATTTCAAGAGGATTTCAGTACAGGAGTATATATGTCTTGTTGCAGTTGCATAGAGCCTTGGTGAGACCTCTCTGGAATGTTTTGTGCAATTTTGGTCTTCTTATTTATGGAAGGATATATTTGTCATCGAGGGTGTGCAACAGAGGTCCACCAAGTTAAATCCTCGAATAGTCATAATCTTATGAGGACACATTGTGGAAACTGAGACTGTGTTCCCTAGACTTTAGGAGAACGAGAGATGATCTAATTGGAACTTATAAAATTGGGTGGTTAAAGGTCTGATATTTCCCCAATTGGTGACTCTGAACCAGGGTGCTTAATGTCAGGAAGTGGGGCAGGATTTTTAACAATGAGGTGTGGAATAGTATCTTCACTTCAAGACAGTGGTCAATCTTTGGAATTCTGTATCTCAAAAAACTCTGAAAGCTCAATCATAAAGTAGGTTCAAGATATAAATCAACAGATTTCTGGGATTAATGATATAATGAGAAATGAAGAGAGTGCAGGAAAATATTACTGAAGAGATGAACAGCCATGATCTGGAATGGCAGGACAGGTTCGATGGAGTAAGTGACTCCTTCCCCATGTCCCTTGAACCTCTTGAAGTGGTGGTGGATTCAGTAATTTATTTCAAATATGAATTGAGTAAATATTTGAAATTGAAACATTTTCAGGATTATGAGGAAAGGGCAGGGCATTACAACTAATTTGACAGTTCTTTCAAAGAGCTCGTACAGACTCTTGACACCTTCTTTTGCACTGTATCACTTTGTGGTTCACTGATCTCTCTCTCTCTTGCTCAGTGAAAGAGCTGTGTAGGAATAGGTTTTTGCTATCTATTAGTTATATTTAATGACTTGGGTCTTGTCTGTTGTGGAGCTGGTAGAGCCCCATGCCGCTGTCTCTTTTTAGTTAGGAAAGTCTGCTGAATTAGGTGCCTTTGTGCACTTAATTGAGCAGCAGCAGGTTTGGGGTGGGTGAGGTGGGAGAAGGTCCACCTGCTGAGAGCTATTGGCCAATTAGAGATGGTAGCTGTTCATTACTTGGCAGCACCATTGATCTGAGTGGTGACTGCTGCCAGGACTACAGCTACCTGAGACCTAGGATTGCCATGAATCTACGCGCAGAAGTGTCATGGTGGAGGAGAGGGGGCATGAGAGTATCAGCAAAGACAGGTGGGTGACTGACCTGGCCATGCCTCTTCCAGATATCTGGTCCCTCAGTCAGGGATTGAGCATCTGATGATGGACTCCCTCTCTCCCTATGTCAACAAGAATAAAATGACAGGATTTTCAAGCCGCCTAAATGGTGTGACCTCCGGCCGTCTCTGGTGTATGCCAGTTGTAGTCATATGGGATCTTACAATGTCATTACACCTTGCTGCTAATTAATGCTCGTGGTCCCAACCACCACCCTTCTGTCTGATTCAGTTGTCCCCAAGTCCAAACTCCTTGAAGGAAGGCATTTAAGTTCTATCCTATACACCTATTATACCACATGACCATTAATTGCGTATTGGTTCACCTTCTGTGAGGTAATTTTGCTTGATATTTTAAGCTGAGCGATTTGATGTGATGCTCTACTTCTGTAGACTGAAGTGAAATATTATGGAGTCATAAGGGTGGTTAGACTTATTTGAAAATGATCATTAGATTGGGTTACACCACTCATTTCCCAGGTTTGGTGGGAAAGGCATTTTCAGCATAGGGGGAATTGTGATTAATTCATCCAAATGATCTAATACTCAACAAGTAAAAGAATTTGGGGTAAAAAGGTTAGAAAATATGAAAATGAACTGTGAAACTCGAGCATGAGCTAATTACTTAAAATACCAATAAGTTTACATTTAGATTAATACCTTAGACCTCACCATTTCGTCTGATATAAAACAAACGGCCAAAGCTGTCATTTTTTGACAATTCAAAAGGATATTACTGAGTTTGCTGGCTTCCAGTTTATAAGTGCATAAAGGCTGTAAGGTCATTAGATTTCCTATTCAAAGAAATTCATTATGTAAATTTTATATTTTCCAGCCTTCAATCAGAAGGGTAGGATCAGAAAGGCTGATGCGAACCTCTTTAGATTTGGAATTGGATCTACAGGCATCAAGGACCAGGCAGCGCAGGCTAACACAGGAACTCGATATCTTGAGGGACCTGAGACGACAAATTGATGAGGCCAAAGCCAGAGGAGAGACCGAATTGCCTCAATGGGTCAAAGAGGATGAGAGGTTTCAAATCTTGCTAAAGCAAGTTGAAAAACAGGTAATGTTATTAATTTTCACATGTGCACAGTATTTAGGTGACGGCAATGTCCCAGTTGATGTGTACTACTAATTTTCTTTTACTGAAAATTAAAAATTGCAATGACAACCCTCTCACTGATTACAAACGAATCCCTAACTTTCTTTGGCCTTTGAATCAGCAGGTAAGAATATTTTGTTGAGTTGATAGACCAATTGCTTGCAAGATTGACATAATCACATTAGAGGCATAGAGTCACAGAGCTGTACAGCATGGAAACAAACCCTTTGGTCTAACTCATCCATGTTGACCAGATAACCGGCCCATATCCTTCTAAACCCTTCTTATTCATTTACTCTCCAGATGCCTTTTAAACATGGTAATTATACCAGCCTCCGCCACTTCGTCTGACAGCTCATTCCATACATGCACCACCCTGTGCATGAAAAAGTTGCCCCTTAGGTCCCTTTTAAATCTTTGACCTCTCACCTTAAACCTATGCCATCTAATTTTGGACTCTGCTACCCTTGGGAAAAGATCTTGGCTATTCACCCTATCTATGCCCCTCATGATTATATAAACTTCTATAAGGTCACCCCTCAGCCTCCAACGCTCTAGGGAAAATAGCCCTAGACTATGCAGCCTCTCCCTATAGCTCAAACCCTCCAACCATGGCAACATCCTTGTAAATCTTTTCTGAACCCTTTCAAGTTTCATAACATCCTTCCTATAGCAGGGAGACCAGAACTGAAGGCAGTATTCTGAAAGTTGCTTGACCAATGTGCTATACAGCTGCAACATGACCTCCCAACTCAATACATTGACCAATAAAGGCAAGCATACCAAATGCCACCTTCACTATCCTGTCTATCCGTGACTCTATTTCAAGGAACAATGAACCTGCACTCCAAGGTCTGTTTGTTCAGACCTCCCCAGGACCTTACCATTAAGTGTATAAATCCTGTCCTGATTTGCCTTTCCAAAATGCAGCACCTCACATTTATCTAAATTAAACTTCATCTGCCACTCCTTGGCCCACCGACCCTTCTGATCGAAGTCCTGTTGTACCTAGAGGTAACCTTCTTGGCTGTCCACAACTAAGAGCCAAATCTTTTAAATTCAAGCCATAAAAGTGGACGTAATTAAGCTTATATTTTTTTCAAGGAAAGGATGGAATGCGTTCATCGGTGGAATTTGAATGCTGGTAACTACTCTGCTTTTTCAAACATTAATTTCAATCACATGTTAAGTGAGGTGGCAACCAATCTTAAGCCAGTTTAGCCTTTTGTTTTTATAAGTTAGATACATAGTACTTATTACGTTTTGTAACAAAATCTATGTGTTCTGTCTGAACATGTTTTACACAGAATATGATTTCTTTCATTTTGTTTGAAATATTGGCAATTAGAGAAATTAGCCCTTGAGATGATGGTAGTTTATAGTATAATTTATTTTTCCAATCCTTCACAGCCAATTTCCTCCTGATACCTTCACACTAGATAACTCTACAAAATGCAGGTTCCAAATTCCCATTTGACCCTGTCATCAGCATCTTGACTAAAACCCTAAATCTCTTTAATATAAATTTCCTGAGCTTCTTGGGGAGAAAAAGTGCTTTTAAAAACTTCCTTAATCTTGGTTTATTGTGAAGATCCTATCTTTATGGTTGCAACCTTTCATACTTTTATTATAATATACTACCCATTCTCCACCTATTTTCTAGTAGCTGACTAGGATGTAATAAAAATATTCATTTTCTTAAGTGTTATTAATTTGTTATAGATTCCTGACAGGAATTTGAAATGGCCACCAACCAATCGGTAGTTTTTCATTTCTTTCGTGCTGTTACTATATAAGCACAATATCCGTTGTCTCATTTACAGTTGAATTCCCTTGGGAATTTTCCTTGTCCCTTTTAAGGAACATAATCTATTCGTTAAATAATCTTGGCAATCAGAGATCTTTTAGCTCCAACTGTTAGAAAGTTTTATGAATTGTAGAAGTATTTTTTTTCAGTTGCTGTCTGAATTTCCCTGACATTTTAGTGTCGATCCTGTGGTGTTTTCAGAGCTAAAGGACATCTTTAAAACGTGATCTTTTAGAGCACAAAGTCCTTTTTAGGTCATATTTCCTATTATAATTACATCAGGACTCCTTTTAATAAGTTGGGTTGGTGTGCTTTCCATTGTGACCTGTGTAGTTTAGTGAGGACCCCTAGTCACAGAAATATGGTACAGCTGAAACAAAATACTTGCAAGATAGGTTTGGCTTCATTATTTTAACAATGTAAGATTGTCATGCAGTGTTTACTTCATTTTATTTCATAATAGATGAACAATATAATATTTGGTGTTATAAAAAGCTTCAAAGCTACAATTAGATTAGTTATTTTAAATTGTTCATATATAATTCTGGAAGGAGCTCCTTTTCATGACTATTTCAGAATTGAAATTTTTGCATCCTGTATCATAGATAAAAAATTATAAAATGAAAGCCTTGCTAGGGTTACTTCTTTGCATTTCTTTCATTTGCCTGTGCCTCTTTGAGTTAATATTATATGTCCTGAGGCCTCCATTATGTGGTGGGAGTTGTGTTTCAGTGCCCTGAAAGAGGCAATTAAGGGATAGAATGTATAAATTCTGGGATTTTGTACTCTGTAGCAAAAACAATGGTTTTAATAGAAGATTTTAAACTTCATTTGAGATAAGCGGATTTGTCGAGTATGTTTTGGGTAGTTTCCTCAAAAAAAAGTATCCTAGAAGCAACAATGCAAAGCTAATATAATGGATAAGGGTATTCCTTTGGATGTTATTCGAAAAGACTTTCAAAAAGCAGTTGATAAAACTGTCCACAAAAGACTATTAACTAGAGACAATTAAGACAAATTATAGACATGGCTGTCAAATATGGCTGAGCGAAAGGAGACAGAAAGTAGGAATAATGGCAAGACAATTTTTTCTCTGGTGAGCTTCAAGTATTCGCCCTATTTACTGTTGACTTAGATGATGGGATATAAAACCAGATCTGGATTTGCAATGGCACAGTTGGAGCTAGAATTGTAAGCAGTATAGCTGGATGCACAAAAATCAAGAGATGTAAATAGAACCAATGGACAAACTATATCAAATGGACTTTGGTATAGGCAAATATGAGATCATCCACTTTAGTGATAATCTAAAACCAATAGAGGCCTGAGGAGACTCTGTGCTCTATGTGCATAGATCATTAAAATTCCACATAGAGATACAGAAAATAATCAAAGTGGAATGGTGACCTGTGTATAAAATGGACTATAATACAAGGGGTTATAAATTAAAAACAGCTAAACAAAACACTGGTTATTGCTTATTATCACACCTGGAGTATTGTTAATAGTTCTGAGCATTTATTGACCTTACAGGAAATTTACCAATATGCTATAAAGACTTCATGGGTTAAAGTGTGAAGAGAAACTAACCATGTATTCCTTGAAATCTTCAAGATTAAAATGCAATTTCATTACAAATTTCAAGAAATTGATAGTGTAGAAATAAGTTTCAGAGATAGTAGGAACTGCAGATGCTGGAGATACTGAGATAACAGGGTGTAGAGCTGGATGAACACAGCAGGCCAAGCAGCATCAGAGGAGCAGGAAGGCTGACGTTTCGGGCCTAGACCCTTCTTCAGAAAGACCCTTTCTGAAGAAGGGTCTAG